TCAAGAACAAATTTAGAAGTCGAATATGCGTCAGTTTGTGATTGATTGTCTAGTAGGATATATCAAAACAAATTTGTTAAGCGGTGTAGACACCAAGTGTATTTTACAAGTTTTTCAGAATATGAAAATACATCATGGACTATTTTTAACTTGTACGAGAGTATATTCTTATTTAATCATTATTATTATTTTACTTTATTTTTAGAAAGAGTACACCACTATGTAAAATTTTTGGGTCCGCCACTGCCCATAAGTGTTAACATCATACTAACACATTCATTAAATGTTTTATAGTATTTTAACCCTTCCCTTTTCACTTCCCCTTCCCCTTCCCTTCTCCCCCCCCCCCCCCCTCCATTCACATTACTTTTTCATGTTTTATTTATAAATTAGCGTTTTGATACCTGAACTTAATAGGTATTAATATTTAGTGCCTAAAATTATTTTTTTTACATTTATGTACTTAAATTATCGACGGAAAAATATATTTTGGTACCTGAAATTTGTACCTTACATTTTGGTCCCTGAACTTTTTCAAATTTACAAACAGGTCCACTACTTGTGGCATGCTTTCTAAACTTGTGGCATGCTTTGTGGTTGTGGCCTACTTTGGAGGTGGAAGAGGTTGTGGCATGCTTCGTGTCACCCTTGCTTCCTTCCTCCGCTTCCGCAATTTTTCATAATACCAAGTGTGCCCCTCCTTCCCCTTACCCCCTCATTAATTGTGGTCTAACTCATTTAAATAGAAAAGTCATACAAATGAAATGTTATGATTGGCTGAAGCTAGTGTTAGTTACCCTAGCTCCCCCCCCCCCCCCCCCCCCCCCCCCCCCCCCCCCCCCCCCCCCCCGAGAGAAATAGCGAGATATGTTGGTCAACAAGATGTTGAGACAATGATTGAGGGTTTACATTGCAATGATATGGACAACTCTGAATTACCAATAAAGAGCAAAAAATTATTGAAATGAGCTTTAGCAATAAGATTAGTCATATTGAATTGTTGTTATTATTGAAATGAGCTTTAGCAATACAACTAATCAAACAAAAAATAATTTATAGTTTCTGATGTAATTATTGTATGTGTTTAACATGATTTTCTCACATATTGAGGGCTATTCAGACGGTAAGCAGAACATTTTATTGGCTGTCGTGGCGTTCTTTCTGTCGCAACAAGCATGAGGGTGGCTTGGGTTTTCGACAATTTGCGTTTTCTAATTAGACTTTGTTGGCTGAGGTAGTTTGGATGATCTTAGAGGACCAATACTCTCTGTTGGTTAATATTTAGAGAGGGAAGTACTTTCTGACTACATCACTTTTGATGGCAAGTGCGGAGTCGTATCTGTCATGGGGTTGGTGTAGTGTCCTCCATGGTTGTGAGCTGCTCTGCCTAGGTCTGCGATCGCAGGTTGGAACTGGGGATATCATTCAAGTGATGTCGCATGTTCGATATGGAAATGCATTATGAAGGAGGAAGGTTTATTATGGAAGTATGCTTATATCAATCCAGGGGGTGGTGCGCGGGTGTCCTTTTGGAGAGACTGTTGGATACCAGGAAAGATCCGGAAAGATGTCTTCCCAAGGGGTGGGCAACGGGACGGGACTGGGTACCCGTCCCGTTTGAAACGGGTACCCAATCCCATTTGGAGAGAAAATTCCATCCCATGTCCCAACCCGTACGGGTTAACGGGTACCCATTACCCATACGGGACGGATAACGGGTGTAACATCCCGTTCCGGCAAAACCCATATTTCGATCGCTAGAAAATTTCACGATTTAAAATCGAGCATTTCGACACTATTTCGGCGAAAATCGGATTATCAATCGATCGGATAAATATACGTATTAAATATATATATAATATTATATATATATATACTTTTGGCGGTGGCTGACCATCTATATAAATCCATCCCCATCATCTTTCTTCTGTCCATTCTTTTTACTTTGAGACCGAGAGAACCGAGAAGCACAGGGCGCGCAGAGGAGAGTGAGCAGGAAATTCTCCGGGCTCGTTTCTTGAGCTTTAGAAATCCAAAAATCCCGTAAGTAATGCCTAATTCATCCATACATCGTGATTTATCGATTTAGAGATTTAAAACGAGTTTTTGGTTCAGGAATTTCTTGAATTCCCGATAAGCCAAATTAGGGTTTCGGAGTATCCGGAAGCCGGATTGAGCCCAAATTTCATATACGAGCTTCCTGCCGCGAGGTAATCAATCCCCTAGTTTTAATCCCTGAATTTCGGCTATTATTTAGATCGGAGCCGGGATCGCTGAATTTAGCTCCGGCCAGGGTTTGATGTGTATTTATCGAGAATTTGACTCGGAGCCCAGAACTAATATTGACGGGGATACTGCAGGGGATATTAGGACGGTCTCGGATTTTAATTCGAGGTTCGTTCGTGAAATTGATGTTTTAGTACCGGAGGCTAGAACCGGTGTTTGAACGACCAGAACTGGTGAGGGATTAGCACGGCATACCGGGTTTGTCGTATCACGATAATTATATTGATGCTTAGAATTGATCTAGGTGAACTAGAATGGCATGATTAGGGGTGTATGAACTTTTGTGCTATATGTTGAACCCTGGATTGTTGTATGATATTATTGACTTCCCCTAATCGATATGAACCTTGTTTATGCTGATGATGGTGTATATGTTGCAAATTGTGGACTTGACTGTTGATATGCCTTATGATGGTTCGGAAAGGTGATTGGGTATGATTTTTCATGATTGTTGTATTTGGATGCACAAGTGGGAAAATATATATTTTCCCTGGTGATATTATGATGTTTTAAGGAGGATGACTTGCACGAGGGTTTATCCCGAGGAAGTGCAATTATACGACTCCTGGTTATGTTGAGCCAATTGTGGCCAGGTCAAGAACATGTCCAAGAAATGAATTATGATTAAGCAAGATGAGATATGAATCATGTATAAGGATACCAAATATGAGGGTTGTGGTCTCACGGTCAACTACATAGTAATTAGGGCTCCCTATGCTATTACTCTATTATGATATGTATGATAGTCACACCTCTCATGTGGTGGTGACTGAAGAATTCTTATGAGATATGACCACACCCAGAGCGGTGTCGGGGTATGACTACACCCATAGTGGTGTGGGGTATGTTGACCACATCCGACGGGATGTTGGGGTATGTATGACTACATCCGACGGGATGTAGGGTATGTTTCCCGGGAGAGTTATTAGCATGGGAGTAGCCAGGCGCCTATAAGTAAAACATGATAAGATGCATATGCATAAGTCAAGGTGGTTGAGTCTTTTGCTTATTGGGATATGAGGATGGCTGAGATCTGATCCTAGTGCTTTGGCTTGTTTGCTAGATGTATGGTAGTGGTATGCTATGTTATGAACTCACGATGCTATGATTATCTCACTCAGCTATGAGCTGACCCTCTTTTATTCTTCTTCTCTGTTTATGCTATGTGTAAGTAGATCATCAGCAACAGCAGTAGATAGGTGTATAGGTGGGAGCTGAGCAAGAGTTGAAGGCAAGATGAGGTATGGTCTTCAACCATTCTGTGCTTGGACTACTACTCGGGATTTTGGCCAGTGATCCACACCTTTTTGTAAAAATGTTTTGAGAACATTTTCATGTGCATACTAGCTTCGAATGTAGTGTGAGATATCCACAGGTGTGGAAAGTTGATGATATGTGGATATTTTTGTAATTGTGTAAGTTATGACGATTATGGCTTGTATTAGTATGATATGCAGTTGTGTAGTATGAAACTGTGACTATGGCTACGAAAGCCAATGCATATGGTTGTGAGTATATATGTTTGTGATGAATTATTTTGCAGGATAAGTTGCAAGAACTGTTAGCCCATTACGCGAGTAATTCATGTCGAAATTTTATTTAGGTAAATTTTGATAATTATTGTAACACCCGAGATTAATTCCGCTGCAGTTGTATGAACAGTATGATTAGGCAAAACATATAGGGTAGGGTGTTACAACGGGTACCCGCGGGTACCCATGAAAATCTCATGTAAAAGAAGTCGTATCATATGTCAACATTGAGTTGAGATTTACATACACCATGGGAGAAGGAGAGAGCCTTACCACTGATATTGGAATTGGTAATAGCATTGGAGATAGCCATAGCTGAGCAAACCCCTCTCCCAGAACCTGACATGTCTTCTCCAGGCAACAATTTTGCGAACCTCTCCTTCATCAAATCTGCATCTACAAAGAAATTCACACCAAATTGTAAAACGGGCAGGAAAAGTTAAATCAACTTAACATATATGAAAAGAAAAAACAAGAAACCCCAGCCAGAATTCCTGGAGTTGAGCTTGTGTGACTTCGAATCCTCTACCCAACTACCATTTTCTTCATCTCCTCCAATGGCACCGCCGGATGACAACATGCTCTTCCTCTCTTCAGGGATTGAGTTAATGGAAGGAGAGAGCCAAGGTAGGAGAAAAATTGATGAATGGAGGAGTGCGGGTAGTACGGGTACCCGTAATACCCGTTGTAAAACATCTTGATCCCAAGTCCCATCCCGTAAAAACAATTACGGGTATTTGGGTACCCGTAACCCTCATAAAAGGGGACGGGTATGGGTATACCCAAATACCCGTTTTTCGTTGCCCACCCCTAGTCTTCCCCAGGGTGGCGGCTGCTTCCTCAAACCGTAATGCTTGGGTGTCGAATCACATATCCTTTAACAATGAGAGTGTGGGATGGGATCTTTCACTTATAGTTTCTTTGAAGGGTAGGTCTTATCGTGAGAGGAATGAGTTGTTGAATGTTTTATCTCTTTTACCTCCTGATCTAATCAATGCAGGTCTGGCAAAACTTATTTGGAGCCCTTGCCCAGAAGGAGGTTTTTCGGTGAAGACCATGTATCGCACCCTTACTCAAGGTAGATTTGTTGGCGTCAATAACTTCCCTCATAAGGTGGTGTGGCGTCCGGAGGTCCCGACAAAGGTGAACGCTTTTCTTTGATTGTTGTTTCACGAGCGCATCCTAACTCACGAGAACTTGAAACGAAGAGGATGGAATCTTGCGAGTCGATGTGCCCTCTGCAACATGGCGGAGGAAATCATCGACCATCTCTTCTGCCATTGTCAATTTAGCAGCATAATTTGGTTCCTCCTTCTGCAGCTGATCGAGTTCCAAGGACCTCTCCCTCATCGCTTTGCAGACATTATTAGAAGTTAGAATATCATAAATCAGCTCACATGGAAGAGGGCGTTCATATCTGGCCTCCTCCATGCTATCTCTTGGGAGATATGGAAGGAAAGAAACGCAAGAACCTTTGATAATACAAGGTGCGCTTGGCAGGTTGTCTACCACAAGATTTGCAGATCCCTGCTGAATTGGGTGAGGGTGACTGGCACCTTGAGTGATCAATGGCGCATTGAGTAGGTTTCCTTTATGCACTCCTTGTGCATGATCCAAAATATGAGAGTCAACCTGGATGATGTTGGGACAGAGTTGCAAACTGCTACTGCTGTGTGATTGTGCTAGCTGCATGTCTTTCCTTAAACTGGTCTTACTGGACAGAGTTGCAGTCCGCTACTCCTGTTTGATTGGCCTGAATGCTTTTACGATTCCCTTCCTTTTGGTGGCGTTATATTGATTTGTTGTTTTCTTTGTTTCTGGATGCCCTTTCTTTCTTTTGTTCTTTAGGAGTAGTTTGACCCACTCAGTAGATGTTCTTTTGTTGTTTGGCTTGTTGGGATCATGCCTCTTGATCCTTCTTGTATCGAACTAGTCCTTTTCAAGTTAATTTTAATTCTCACCATTATCCACACACACAAAAGTTTTCCCAGCAACTGCCCTCTTTGTTGGAGGTTTCTGCCTTTATTGATGATGACAAGGGGAGCTATAATGTTGGGACGGTCTTGCAACATGCTTTCTGTAGCAAGTAGTCAAGACCATCCAGGCTATTCCATTGCTTGTGCAGCCTATCCCGGACCGACTTATCTAGATAGATGATCGCTCTAGGGAATACTCGAGGAAGTTGAGATATCACTTTGCCTTGAACTTAAAACAGAGGGTGAAAAAATGGAAACAAATGGTAGTGCTTGTGGATCTGAGATTGTGGATGGAGGTCTAGGAGCTCCCTATACAACCGAAGATTAGGTTTTTCCTTTGGTAGGTTCTGTGTCGGGTGTTACTGATGATGAGGCGTTGCAACTCAGTGAAGTGCTTCTCATGCCTCTTTGCCCTGTGATTTGGGTGGAAGAAGAGACCTTGGAGGACCTTCTATTGTCATGTCCTATGGTGGTGGTACTTTGGGAAGCTGTTGGTTTTCGGCATGAGTTTATGGGCTTGCCCTTGCTGAATTTTAAGATGTTCTTTAGACAATTTCTTGAATGTGATTCCACGGGATTGAGAGTAGTGAAACTTGTAGCGGTCTTGTGGCGTATCTGGAAGGGCAGAGTTTGGGTAGTTTTGAGGGGAAGCAAGTGGTAAAGTAATTTGAGGAACATGTTGTGGAGTGGAAGAGATTGCCTAGACGCGTGTCTAGGAGTAGATCCTTGAGTCTGCGTCATGGTAAGGTAGGAGGTCCTGGTGGGAATCAACTGCATATGGTTTTCTCCTTTGATGGGGTTGTTTGTAAGGGTTCTCACTCGATGGTGGTTATGATGATCTATGATGGGATTGAGGAGCTACTCTTCGCGAGGGGTGTTGTTTATGAAGGTCTCCATAAATCGATGATTGTTGAGCTACTTGCAGGGATGCAGTTTGTTGGTGCATTCAAAAGGGCTTCCAAGCGATGACATTTGAAGGTGATGCGAAGGTGGTTATTGAGAAGGTGGATCAGGGAGTTACGTGAGATGGTACTTGAGGCTCCATCTATGAAGAGCTTCGTCAACTTCTTTTGGAGTTCCTAGGCATCGAGTGGCTAAGAAGGCCCTAGTATTGTTTCCTGTAAATGTTAATGGTTTTGATTTTCGTACTTGGCTCGCTTCGGAGCCCTAAATTATGTATCTAAGGCGTCATTTGATTTTGGTGATTGTTTGGTTGGGATAGTTACAATGCATTATTTTTTTGTTTTGAATTTTCTGCACAAACAATACATGCATTGTTTGCATGATGTGATGGAAACTATCACTCAAGTGATAGTAATATCTCTACTAAAACTTGAGATTGTTGGGATAATTTTGAGAAGATTGTTGGGTTCATTTTTTATTTCAATTATACCCCTAGTTATACATATATTCTAATAAAATCAAGGGCGAAAGTGATATTTCCTGCAAAAGGGAATACATCGATTTTAGTATCACCAAAACCAAACCACCCCTAAATTTTCTTGGTAATACAAGTTATATTTTTTATACAAAGAAGATGTTAATTTTTCTACATGCAAAAAAGAGGGACCATAAATATACTTCCCTCTCTGAGGCAAAGGAGAGTCACCCTCACCAAGTTAATCCTCAAACGGCCAAGTCCTTCATCATTCCATCAACTGTTGCCCTGTAAGTCCCGTTCCCTTCCTTTTCGCCTTCACGTCTCAGTTGCCACTTTCCAATCAAATTTTGAAAAAGGACGACGGGCGCCCCGATGCCTGCAATGAACAATGTCAGGATGGAAACGAAACCACACTTCCAATTCATGATACGATATTCAAGTTCCCCGCCAGTATGGGTTCCTACCAGTTGGGCGATTCCTTTTTCTATTCGCTCATTGCGACCTGCGCTGATTCTTGCGATGTCGAGTCATTGGAGGAGGTTATGGGTCGAATGAAGCGGGAAAACAGAGTGTTTCTGGAGTTGTCCAAGGAGGACACGACGAGGACCTAGATGTAGTTGTTGTTTAGTTTATAGATGTTATTGTAAATATGTAAAATGTGAGTACTGTATAGGTAGTTTCTAGTTAATATATATATGTGGGTTGTAATGAATAATGTAACTTTTTTGATTCCAATTAATGAAAATGTGCCTGATGGCTTCCCTAAACGACATGGTATCAGAGCAGTGACTTTCACCCTCTTGCTTTTCTTGTTTTCCTTGACTTTTCCAGTCAATTTTCTTTCTGTTTCTCGAGGGTTTCGGGAGAAAGAACACCTCGTTCTTTTCTTTTCGTTCGTTTCCCTCTGCTTCTCGATCTTTCTTCGATCGATTCGATCCAGTTTCTGCTTTCTCTGATACTCGGTTCTTTTCGTTCTCTCCGATTAGTTCCTGTGCACCTCCGTGACGATCGATTATTCGATTTGTTCAGCTGATCCTTCGCGACGATCGATTTTTCTGATTCGTTCGTGGTCGATTTTCCGATTCGTTCGTGGTTCTTGTACTCGCTCAGTTGCTTCTTCAGTTTCAGATCAAGATCGATGGCGTCTTTCTCTGCTGTCAACGCGACGTTCGGTCCGCCATCGTCTGGTGCTGCGATGGGAAGTGCTCCTCCTCCGGTGAGTGCTATGGCTGGTGGTTCGTCTTCGCTCTCGCCGGCGCACCCTTTCTTTGTGGCCAATGGCGATTTGTCTGCTCAGCAACTTGTGACAGTGCCGCTCTCTGGTTCCAACTACCACAGCTGGGCGCGATCGATGCGTATGGGTTTGCATGCACGAAACAAGCTTCCCTTGATTGATTCTGGTTCACCGGTCCCGTCGCCAGATGATCCTCTTTGGAGCGCTTGGGACCAGGCCAATGTTCTGGTGCTTGGGTGGATCCAGCGGTCTGTTTCGCCCGAGATTGCACAAAGTGTACTGTGGTTCAACACAGCAGTGGAAGCTTGGGAAGATCTTCGAGAGCGTTTCAGTGAAGGTAATGAAATCCGAATCTCTGATATTTACGATGAGATTGCTGCTCTCAAGCAAGGTTCAATGTCGATCAGTGCTTACTTTACCAAATTTCGGGTGTTATGGGAGGAATTCCTGATTCTCAGACCTCTTCCCGTGTGTACTTGCAATCCTAAGTGTGTCTGTTCTGCTTCGTCGATTCCACGTGAGTACGTGCGTAGGGACCAGGTTATTCGGTTTATGAAAGGGTTGAATGAGAGTTTTGCTCATATCAAGTCTCAGCTCCTGTTGAATGATCCTTTGCCTACCATCAATAAGGTGTTCTCTAGTCTAGCTCAGCATGAAAGGCAGTCTGCTTTGCCTTCATCACTTCCTACAGCTCTTGCTGTTCATGGGACTTCCAAAGGACATCAGTCTGGTCAAGGCAAGGGTCAGGGATCTGCTCAAGGTCCTGGTGGGGGTAAGAAGAGGCCCTATTGTACTCATTGTGAAGGTTTCGGGCACATAGTGGATCGCTGCTACAAACTTCATGGATATCCTCCTGGATATAAGCATCGCCGAGTTAATGCTACTGTGGCTGATTCTGATTCTCCTAATCCTCCTACTGGAGTGGTGGTTGATGATTCTGTTGTCCTCACTAGAGCTCAGTACCAGTCTCTACTCTCTCAGACTCAGGTTCAGCATGTTCAGCGACCTTCTGCTACTCCTGTAGCTAATCTGATCACCTCGGCTAGACCGGTTTCTGTTACACCAGAGGTTCATCCACACACTTCAGCTGACTCTGGAGTTATTCCTCACACTGCTGATTCTGGCACAGTTCCTCAGGCTGTTGATTCGGGTTACATTCCACAACCCGTTAGTCTTAATCTTGTTCCCACTGAAGATACTGGTACGATTCTCTTTTCTATTAACTCAGTTCTCACCTCTATGGATTGGATAGTAGATAGTGGTGCTACTGATCATGTTGTGTCTGTGTTACATTTGTTTCAAACATATAAAACCATAAGTAATATGTCTGTGTCTCTACCTAATGGTGTAAAAGTTCAGGTTACACACATAGGGAATATTGCCATCACTCCTAAACTGATTTTATATGATGTCCTGTATATTCCAGCTTTTACATTCAATCTAATTTCAGTATCTAAACTAGTCCAATCTTCAAAATGTTCTCTCCAATTTACTGCCGATTCTTGCTTAATCCAGGATCTTTCATCCCTCGAAACGATTGGTACAGCTAAGCAAGAATCTGGCCTCTATCATCTCAACATGCCTCTTCCTAAGTCACAACCATCTGCTTGTAATGTTTGTTTCAATACAGACTATGTTCCTTTTGATGTTTGGCATTATAGACTTGGCCATACTGCTATCCCTTTATCTCAGTTCTTAGACAAGGATGTTAAACCACCTATCAGTCATAATAAAACTCCTTGTACTGTGTGTCCTTTGGCAAAACAGAAGCGTCTCCCTTTTCCTTCGAGTACATCTCATGCTCTTCAACCGTTTGACTTACTTCATCTAGATATATGGGGTCCATATCAGACTCCTACTATTGACGGATATCGATATTTTCTCACTTGTGTGGATGATTTTTCACGACACACTTGGATTTATTTACTAAAAACAAAAGGTGAAGCTAGGCAGATCATGTTAGATCTACCAGCCTTTGTTAACACTCAATTCTCATCTAAAATTAAAACAATAAGGACCGATAATGGCCAAGAATTCAACATTCCTTCTTTCTACAAGGAGTTTGGTATTGTGCACCAAACAACTTGTGTAGCTTCCTCCCAACAAAATGGTCGTGTTGAGAGGAAACATCAACACATATTGGCTGTGGCACGTGCTCTTATGTTTCAAGCTTCATGTCCAATCACTTTCTGGGGTTTTGCAGTTTTACACCTGTTTTTTTGATTAATAGAATGCCATCTCCTCTTTTACAGAATTTTTCTCCATATGAATTATTATTTCACACCAAACCTGTTTATAATGAATTCAGGGTTTTCGGTTGTCTAGTTTTTGCCTCAACTTTGCAACATAACAGATCCAAATTTGCCCCCAGGGCTGACCCTTGTGTCTTCTTAGGTTTTCTTAATACCGTTAAAGGGCATAGACTCTATAATCTGGTTTCCCACAATATTTTTAACTCAAGGGACACTGTTTTTCACGAGCATGTTTTCCCCTTTGCCAATTCTCAATCTACTCTTGACTTTGATTTCTGTTTCCCTTGCATTCAAGTTTAGGATACAGTAGTTCAGTATACTCCCTCTGAATCACCTTTGTCATCTATTCCTACTTCTGTATTGCCTAATTCTGCTGTGAATTTAGATACTTCTGTTCCTCCACCCGAGGAACCTCTAGATCTAGTGGATATTATTCAGGCAGTGGAACCTCCACCATATGCGAGGCCTCCTCGTGTTAAGGTGCGTCCTAAAAAGCTAGATGACTATATTTGTACTGTTGAATGTGATGGGGTTACATACCCTATATCTCAAGTCATGTCTTTTGATAAACTCAGCCCAGCATACAAAAAGTATATTCTGGCCAGTTCTGCCATTCTAGAACCTAGGTCATACAAAGAAGCTATTAAGGATCCTAGGTGGTCAGAAGCTTGCAATTCTGAATTAGCTTCATTAGATAAAACTAATACATGGACAATTGTAGAGTTACCTGATGGTAAGATTGCTATAGGAAACATGTGGGTCTTTAAAGTTAAATTTCTTTCAAATGGTGAGATAGAAAGGTTTAAGTCTCGTTTAGTAGCTAAGGGGTATACTCAAACCCCTGGCCTAGACTACTTAGAAACCTTTGCTCCAGTTGTTATACACACTACTGTTCGTCTTGTTCTATCGTTAGCTGCTATTAATAATTGGCATTTGCATCAACTTGATGTTAATACATCTTTTCTTCATGGAGACCTTGATGAAGAGGTTTACATGAAAATTCCCCCAGGTCTGAAGGTACCCCCTGGTTTCAAAAATCCCGTTTGTCGTCTTAACAAATCTATACATGGGTTAAAACAGGCTAGTCGTCAATGGAATATTAAGTTGTCCAATTTTTTAACTGCTGCTGGTTACAAACAGTCTAAGGCAGATTATTCCATGTTTGTACGTAGCTATGACAAGTCGTTTACCATTGCTCTTGTATATGTTGACGACATTATTTTGGCAGGAAATGATATCAAAGCTATCACTGATCTCAAACATAAATTGGATCAAACCTTCACTATCAAGGACCTTGGTGAATTGAAATTCTTTCTTGGACTAGAGATTGCTAGGACAGAGAAGGGTATTTTGTTATATCAAAGGAAGTTTGCATTAGATTTGTTAACTGATTATGGTTTTCTTAGTGCAGAACCTTGTGATTCTCCTTCTGTTCCAGGCATTAAACTCTCAGCTACTTCTGGTAACACACTTTCTGACCCTTCTGTTTATAAACGTTGGGTAGGTAGGTTACTTTATCTATGCAATACACGACCTGATTTGGCTTATTCAGTGCATCAATTGAGTCAGTTCACTCACAGTCCCACTGATTTACATTTGCAAGCTGCTGAACGTGTGTTGCGTTATATCAAAGGCACTGCAGGTCAAGGACTTTTCTTTTCTGCTTCTTCTGAGCTTAAATTGAATGCATTCTGTGATAGCGATTGGGCTGGATGTCCAGACACACGCAGGTCTACAACAGGATTTTGTGTATTGTTAGGGAATTCACTTATTAGTTGGCGTTCAAAGAAACAGAAAACTGTTTCTCGCCTTCAGCTGAAGCTGAATATAGAGCAATGGCTAGTTTGACTTGTGAAATCTTATGGCTCAGGTATGTCATGAGTGATTTACATATCAGTCTCTCATCTCCTACTCCCATATACTGTGATAGCATGTCGGCTATCAAACTTGCTGATAATCCAGTCAATCATGAACGCACAAAACATATCGAGATTGACTGTCATGTTATTAGGGATAGAATTCTTGATGGTGTGATTAAAGTTTTACATGTTTCCTCTGTTAATCAGCTGGCTGACATGTTTACAAAGTCGCTTCCAGTTCATGTTTTTCAGCAGTTGCAGGTCAAGCTGGGACGTCTTGATATATACGTGCCAGCTTGCGGGGGGGAGTTGTCCAAGGAGGACACGACGAGGACCTAGATGTAGTTGTTGTTTAGTTTATAGATGTTATTGTAAATATGTAAAATGTGAGTACTGTATAGGTAGTTTCTAGTTAATATATATATGTGGGTTGTAATGAATAATGTAACTTTTCTGATTCCAATTAATGAAAATGTGCCTGATGGCTTCCCTAAACGACATCTGGGGAGAAGTTTCATTCTTGTGATTAAGCCCTATGGGAGTAGCTGGTTTGCCTGGAAAAGTTCTGGACATGTTTGATAGGATGGAGGAAGAATTTCAGTGTAAGCGCACTGTGAAGTCGTTTAACTCTGTTCTGAATGTTGTTATCCAAGCGGGTCTTTTCTTAGGCTCTGGAGTTTTATGATCATGTTGTTGGTGCAAAAAAATGTCAACATCTCGCCTAATGTGTTGCATTCCAATTTGATCATCAAGGCTATGTATAAGCTTTGGTCTGGTTAACAAGGCTTTCGAGGTGCGTAAGGTATGGGGATTAGGCAATGTGAACCAGATGTGTACACTTATTGCACACTGATGGATGGAATTTGCAAGGAAGATAGGACTGATGAAGCGGTTTCCTAATCCTCTCACACTCTATTTGTTGACTAATGGGGTATGCAAGAAGTGGTGTGATCCAGACTTTGTCACATGCAGCATTGTTTTGAGAGCCTGGGTAGAGAAGATAGATCCACCTCAAGGTGGAACCGAGTTCTTGGAAGAGCTTGAGGTTCAGTTATTTAAGTGACAAAGAGTGTTAGGTGCTTCCAAAATTCTGGAAGCCATGCTGCAAAAGTTTTTGTTGACAAAGGCCTCTACTTAGAGCATAGTTGTTCAGGAATTATGCAAACCAAAGAAAGTAGAGGTAGTGATTGAAAGGTGCCGGAAAAATGTAGTTGGGTAACAAGGCTAACAGCCACATGGATCCTTAAAATCCCCAGGCAATCAAATGACATCAGAATCCGTGCAGACGATAGAACAGCTGAGAGAGGTTGGCAGGTTGCAGCTTTCTTTCCAATTCTGCATTGGAAAATCCCTCTGCCTCGTAGTGGTCCATACTTCTGCAGATCTCATGGTTTAAATGGAAGTTTGAAAATAGTTCATGATGAAGATTATGATAAACATGGCCCGGGATGCCTTCTCGTGAATATTGGTGAGCATGCTAATAGTTTTTTCTATCCTCGGACCTTTGCACGTGTTGTTGCTATACTTCATTGTATTCTGGTTTGTGCTTATGCAAACTGTCTAATGTTATGCATCAAGCAAAAGAACTCAGTGAGAATGAACTAGAATGGTGTATGTTACGAAATCTCTCAGTCATGAGCCTATCACTGTATCGTAAATATGCATTAGTTTCTTAATTTTGTTTTCGAGATATGAGGCTGCCAGGAATTTTGTTTGAATATTTTCCTCTTTGTTGATACACTAAACATGTTAGTAAGGCTAAATGGTCTTTGTATCTTCACTTCGAATTATACGATGAAGTTATGTGCTTTGCCTATATTTGTTTGTATAGGAGTTGGTCACATCTCCTTTTTATGTGCTCGGAATGGGAACTGAGCGAAGAAGTAGATTGAGCAAAGACATTAAGCTTAGAATCAATTTCATTTTCTTACTGATATTGAATAACAATGATGTTTTGCGTTATGCAGGACCAATTTAAGTTTGGCATACTGAAACTTAACATTATCATATGATCTCATTCCTTTTCTAGTTTGTCTGTGCTGCCACATTGACATAGTATTAGTTGTTGCAAGTAGTAATCAGTTGCTGTCTTTAAACCAAGTAGATTGATGATAGATCCTTACAAATGCAGAGTTCTTTCCCCTGAAGTCTTACAGGCATTGGTCGTGTGCTACATCCTGAAGCTTCTTTTCCATATGGGCCATGTCGTAAGTCGCATGAAGACCAAAGAAAACATAGTAAAGCAGCATTACAACAGTGCAGATTCCGAATCTTACAAAAGCCTCAGCCCCTAAAGATCCCATGAGAAAGATATTTGTTGCTATCGACAATGATGGAAGCCATGGAACCAGTGGTACCCCCCAAACTTTCGGGTTTCTCTGCTGAGGCAAAAGTAGGGATAACCCCAGAGTCCCAAAGAACCAAAGAGGAACAGTTACAGCATAACCATACCAACCATCAGGCTTCAGGCCCCAGTAAGCAGCAGTCCCCATGGAGGAAGCAATAATAACCAGGAGAAAAATTACCAACTTCAGGAGGTTTTCCTTTGGGGTGACTTCTCTAACGTAGTATCTCCTCACAAGCAAAGCGACAGCCATCATCATGAAGATAAACAATGTGCTTACCGACAACAAGCTAGCCAAGACATCCAGGCCCGAGAAGAAGGCAATAAAGGCCCCTGAAACTGTGACCAGAAGTGTAGCATTTATCGGTGTACCGGTCTTTGGATGAACGAGCGCAAACCATGGAGGAATCATGTGTGCTCTTGCGATATGAGTGGTGTATCTTGCTTGACCTAGAGCCCCTACAAGGAGAACAGTTGTCATCCCTTTAAGGGCACCAAGTGCTACAAGGTATTTCGCCCAGTGCATTCCTACACTCTGGAAAGCTACAGAATAAGCTGCTTCAGTGTCAATCTCTGTGTACCTCTGCATCATGCTTAGGGAAAGTGCCATCAAGCAGTATATCACAGTTATGATCGACATGGATCCAAGAAGCCCTAGTGGTATGTCTCTGGAGGGGTTTTTCGTTTCTTCTGCCATGGTGGCTATGTTATCGAATCCTCCATAGGCAAAGTAAACAATTGCAGCTGCTTGGAAGACACCTTTGACACCGTAAGGCAGAAATGGGGTCAGATTGGATGTTCGAGCATGGGCGAAACCTGCAATGATTACGAACAAAATAATTGCGGTGTTCAATCCGGTTGTTATCCAGTTGAGTAATGAAGTTTTCCTCGTGCTGATCATCGCGATGGTGGAAGCCAAAGCCAGAACTACGACCGCAATTGGGTCCAGGAGATTGAAACCTGCATGATTTGCAAAATCTTGTTCGTGTAAGTTGCAGATTACAATATGCATAGGGTATAGAGTCATATTAAAGGCAACATACGTTTGAAAGTTTGGCATTAGCTATGACCTTTGGTTAGATTGGTATGAATGCGGAGTGAGTTGGATGGACGATTGAGAAGAGTGGCTAGATATGAAGTCCATGCTCTCGCCACCGCTGCAGTCCCCACCACACTCTCCAGCAGTATGTTCCCCGCAGTGATGAATGCAGCGAAGTCTCCCAGCTCGATTCTCAAGTAAGCAAACGAACCGCCTGCGACAGGGATCTCTACTGCAAATTCCGTGTAGCAGAAGACAGACAGCATGGCCGAGACTCCGGAAGCCACGTAGGACAAGACAATGGCAGGTCCAGCATGGTCGTGAGCTTCCTGTCCGGTCAGCACGAAAATGCCAGCTCCAATGACCGAGCCGAACCCAAACCAGGTGAGATCCCACCAGGTGAGGCAGCGTTTCATCTCGTTCTCGCTCTGCTTCCTGAGAACTTCCACCTCATTGGCATCATCGGACCGGGACACAAGACGGTCCTTGAACCGATGAAATGTCTGTGACAAGGCCGCCCGGTAGCTGCCCCAGTTGCTGAAGGACTCTTCAGGAAAGAAATCATGTTTGTTGAATCTCCAATATTTTCTTTCCTGGAGGTCTGCATTACCGTGTTCTTGGGTAGCAGCGTCCATTTGTTAGCTGCTGCCTTTTTCTGTGTGGCTAATTGGACAGAGTTTTCTTCTTTTCTTCCTTTGGTTGGCTTTGCGCCTTTGCTCCACTGATATAAACTGAGTAGAAGTGGGTCCCGTTCGATGATGGGAGGGTTGTGTAGGAGACGGGATCTTCTGTGAGTGGCAAGTTGTTACACCAGTTGCTGTGGTGGGGCAGTGGTTTTGGATGGTAGTGTAACAAAGTGGCTGCAAAACAAACAACTGGGAACTTGGAAACTTCAGCATCTTCTGAACTGTGAGCTTGTCAGTTTGTGGATTGTACGTCAGGAATAGTACAGCTTGCTATAAAGGATCACGATTCTTTCCATTGTTTATCACACGGTTACCGACACAACTGAACGTAGTAGAAGTGCTCAAGTATCTCCAACGGAAAACTTGAGGCGCTAAACTATTTTGTCAATTAAATTACAACACACATGCACAGAGTATACAAACTTTCTTTTCTAATTGGTGTATACTACTTCTGGTTTGCTGAGAAATAATGGGCAATAGTGGTAGCACCACCTCGTTTAACTGTATTTGCTCGTTTTTGGGGCCGGATCCAAGACTCCAACTCAGCTTGGATCTCTTCTGGCAACTCCGCAATCACTGATTCGTCAATCTCATCAACCTTGTAGCTCCATGCTGCCCTTCCTCCTCCATTTTGAATGGCATTACAACTGTTACTACCGTCACCCTGAGACCGGGTTGGTTCCTGAGCTTGATCATTGCTCTTAAAAAACCTCAAGATTGTCCCCTGCCACAATCGAAGACAGCTAGTGATCCTACGCTTTCGATAACAATGCTCGGGAAGTTTGCAAGATTGACATTAATCAGTTCACATCATTTTCTTGTTTCCAGAAAGTTAAATCAACAAAAAGGATCTTCCAAGAGGTTATTAGAAGTTGAGGCATGCTACCTGGTCTTTCAAAGCACTATTTTTCTGCTCTTTCCGTTTTGAACGTGCTGTGCTCAACTGATGTCTAACATCTTCACTAGGGAACTCCTGTGCACTAACTTTAGTTTTCCCCGAGCAACTTTCACTCGGGAAGTGTGGTTGGGAAGCTTCCTTAGTTGAGCTATCCACTTCGTGGCCCAACAAAGACAAATTCTGCAAATGATAGAAGAACCTCTAATTATGCCCACAGAAGACCTGAACTTCAATCTCAAGTATCTAGGATATATGCTTTATGTTAATTACCACAGGCGATAATTCCAATTAAGTTACTGACCTTATCTTCTTCCATGGGTACTTTATTGTCTTCTATATAATCTGAATAATTGTCGGTAAGCTCCACCCTCTCGCAACATTCCAGTTCTGTACAATTTTTGCTGTCTGAATAACATGCAGTGCTTCATCAGTTTGAGCGAGATATGAAAAAGAACAAAAAGAAGAAGAAGAAAAAAAAAAAGACACAACTGCTAGAACAAAGGAAGGTAACCTGAGGGTGACGTCGGAACAGCTTCCTGGATGAAGTTAGCCTCCACTTGCCTGGCAGGAGCATCACATCTTTGCTCGCCACCAAAGTATTTCATGATGGAGCACGTTCCCTACCAAATCCATAGAGAAATCTGATGAGTTTCTTCCATAATTTACACAGTGGGGATGTCGTTAAATTCTCATATTCTTCACCATGGAAAGCAGCAATCGTGAAGAGAATGACCAACTTACAGAAGGTATAGCCATAATTTTGCTTGCTGAAACAGAGAGACCTGTTATTGCCCATCTTTCAGGATGCTGACTTCCTTGAGTTTTGGCTCCGTAAGAGCCCAAGTATTCTCGTAATCCAGCTTGAAATAGGTTAAATGCATCCTCTTGAATCTTGCCAGTTCCATACCTTAATGGACAAGATTTGGAAGGAAACTTCTTATGTGAATCTCTCTCGCTTGGCTGCAGAAAAGCACAAAAAGGACAAACGACCTTCAGTTTAACAAATCTAGAAGAGCCCAACATAGTGAAGGGCCAAAAAAAAAATACATGTTTGCTGTCAAGAAGAATCCATCAAAAAGTTGGATAATTCAAAGAATTAAAATAAAAAAGAGTAGGAACCAGGTAGAAAGAACAATGTTACCCCATAAGCTGTAGCATGAAGAGTTAGGGTATGTGCTGTCCGTTTATTTTCTTCCAGATCACGGCAAATACGTTCACTAAGCTCATCACAAAGTTGGTTGAGCCAGTGTTGAACCTGAGACAACCAACTGAAGTACATCAACAGTATAAAAAATGCAACCTTATCCAGAAAAAGTAAGTCACATAGTCCTTCTAATCTGTGAGATCAATCGAATTCTTACTGTAGCAGCTGTCTTTAAAGCCCGGGGACCAGGAAATGACTTTCCAGATCCATGGCTCTTGGGAAGAAGGCGCCCCTGAACTTCTTCTCCACTGATTCCTCTGGCAATGTTCCATAACCAAGTACTGGAGTCCAATATTGAAAATGTATTCATTAGAATATGCCATGATGGAAACTGTTTGAGAGCTATGAAAAAAGATCTTAGTTGTCAATCTAGGTAATTAAGAATTCACATAATCAGACCACTGAAAGAGTGCCACATTCAATACAAATTGCAGAAATGAAATCACGAAACAGGGCAGTCTCTCTCCACATATTCATCATCAGCGCCACAAGTTGTGGATCTAGGCTAGCACTGACATTTGAGTTGAGTTTAACAACTTTCAAGTATCACCAAGTAGTCCAAGAACGATAAATGCAATGATTCCTTAAAGCATACAAGAAATGAAAGAAAAAATTAATGAAAAATGGTACCCAGTCTTTACACCATAGAGATCTTGTAGTTTCTCTTCAGAAAACTGCAACAGATCTCCAACGGTGTTCACTCCTAGATCACCTTGTAATGAAGTCCCAAGCTTTCCACCTAGTTGTTTCCTGTAATCAAATAAATTCTCATGTTCAACAGAGTACGAAAGGAAAGCGGAGCCTATAAAGAGAAGTGATTTGTGTGCTTTGTTTAGAAAAAGATAAAACCCGTACATCTTCTTTATTGGAAAAGAATAGAGCAACCCATTTACTGACGAGGAGGGCACAACAGTCTGTTGTGCAGGTTTGTTCATAGCACTTGCAAGTTTTGCCAGCATCTAGTAACACAAAACACATGGAGGTTCAAATTCAACTCAAAGAGGATTTAACCTGTGTGCGCTTTCGAAACACATGATAATGCAGAAATCATAGAAATAAAATGAAGTTTGATAGGATATCTACCTTATTATGAGCAACGCCAGCAGAACAAGTGAACTCTGTCTCCATTAGGACTTGCATTCTAAGTTCAGCAGTAATAATAGCTCCACAGGCCAACAATTTATCACGGTGATCAGCATCACTATTACACATCCATCTCTTCACATTTTCTTTCTTGTCGATTTCATCCTGAACTTAGTGCCAATTTCCACATGAACTTCAATATTAAAAGGAAAAGCAGGAGAAATGAAAGAAAACAGACATTCTGAATATACATTTCCTATAACCACAGTGTCATTTTCATTTTACATAGACTGCTGACCGGTAACAATACGAAATGAGATTATTTTTCCATTCCCACAATTGTTAGTTCAATAAAGTTGGTCTTTGTATTCTATAATATACAGTGTTAGCACCTCATTTGCAAGCCCCAGAACATGTGACTTGAGAACTTCCTCATGTACAGCTTCCAAACTCTCAGGAGGGTTTTCCCTCAACATAGCTTCGGCAGCATCAGTAAGATCAAGGTAAACTTCATCAATCGAAGCCCTCTCACATCGGCCCTTCCTCGCAAGAATTGAAACCACCTATTAATCCCAATTCAAACGCTAGCGTGAGCATAAAATGTTAAAACTTTTTAACATCTTCACATGCACCATTAATCAACAGAGTATCCCCTCGAACCAGAACTTGATCTGACATACCTCCGAACCTGCATTGCGGTAGGTACTCAGGTCTGCCTTGCCACGAGCTACAGGGACTTGAACCAGGTGAATTTGCGGACAAACTTGCTTCGCTTCATCACCTCGCATGGAGCTAAAGTAAGAATTTTAAAAAAACCAAAAATTAACCAAACCCGACGCAAGAAACACCTCAAAGAACCAACACCACGAACCGCTTCACTCCAAATCCACGGGCCTCGTAGCTAACCGCAATCAACCCCCCGCCTTTCCACTCGTTGTACTGCACCACCGCGCTAGGTAAACCTCTCAACTCTGGTTTCTTCCTCTGCTCCACTACAACGGCAGAAGAGATGGAACCCGACCAAAGTCAATTTTGCAACATAAGTAGAGATGTACGAAACCCAACAGTGGGAATTCCTAAATTTCATGATTGATTCCGCCATGAATTGCGAAGTTCCGTTCTCGGTTTGGCAGCGAAAGAAAAAAGAGAAAATGGTAGAGAGAAGTGAAAACCTTGGACGTAGAAGCAATCCATGTCGACGTGGGCTATGATTCTTGGATGGGACGATTCGGGTCGTGCCACCGGCATTTGGACGCCGCCGAGGTAATCTGCCGCCGGACGCTGATCAAGGGGGTTGGTTTCGCATGAAAAGTCGGTTCTCTATTTGGCGGGTGTTGTATGGCTCTCTCGGGTGAACTAATCAGTTGGGACGCGTTGTACTTGAAATTTGTTCACCAGATGCCAACTGAGTAAAATTATCAATATTGTCAGAAACGAACCAGAGTATGACTTAGTATCGTGAACGACTCGCACTTTAGCAGTTCAATCAATATTAGACCGTTTAAAAATCGTTGAAAACCGATATTCTATAAACAATAATATCATAAATAAAAGATAAATAAGATAGTAATTTAACAATATAAGGACTAAAATAAAATTCACCAAATACCATTTAATAATATTACATATTATATACATATATATAGGTGTCAAAACATGACCCGAGTAACCCGCCCAACCAACCCGATCCGCGACCCTCCCGCAACTCGATTGGACTAAAAGTCAAAGACCCGCAACCCGCCCGACCCGCAATCCGCTTGACCCGCAACACGCGTAACCCGCAACCCGCTTGACCCGAACCCGCTTGACCCGCAACCTGCTTGGCCCGTAACCCGACTAACCCGAACACGATTAACCCAACCCGAACCCGCCCGATTGGCACGAATAATACTACATAATATATTTTTGTGCATAAAAATTATATGTAAATAATATATATAAAGTTTACTTGACTTGCCCTATTAGTTTTTCATCTTTCCCACCAAGAACAAAGGTTTACTTTGTGTTGACAAATGACAACTGTCATTAAATTGAATCACATAATAGTCTCACTATCTCGGTAAATTGAATCACATAATACTTTCTGGTCTCTCTGCCTTTTAGTAGAATCAAATAAACAACAAGTTCAAATTGTAATAAATCAATTACGTGGACTAGCTGGCTTATGTGCTGGTCTTTCCCATCCGAGGGACACGGTTCAAAGCCTAGTAGAAACACATTTTTTTTAACATGTTTTTGTATGTTAACTTATACATAAAATTCACTTAATGTATAACATAGTTAGTAAAATATAGTACGAGAAAGTTACGTATAAAATACTTACGGTTATTATACTTCGTCTCTTAGGTAATGCTACGTTTAATAGTATGTTAATAGTAATAAATATATAAAACCAATTACCTTTATAAATAAATCAATATGTAAAAATAGTAAAGTTAATAATACATAAAATTCACTTAATGTATAGCATAGTTAGTAAAATATGGTACGAGAAAGTTACGTATAAAATACTTACGGGTATTATACTTCGTCTCTTAGGTAATGTTACGTTTAATAGTACATTAATAGTTATAAATATATAGAACTAATTACTTTTATAAATAAATCAATATGTAAAAATAGTAAAGTTAATAATTCATTTCATTAAATACGGATATTAAACGTTTGGAGTCGTAGGACATATGTTCTTCTCAATAACCAACAATTTAATAATACATAACTATAGTTCATGGTTTAAGGTTAGTGCATAGGGTACACGGTATTGGACTCGCGGTTTAGAGTTTGGAGTAATAGGACATATGTTCTTCTCAATAACCGAATATAAAATTGACTCAACTTACATTCTTCACATAACAAACGTTGTAGCTTATTCCAACAATTTCATAACATATAACTATAGTATAGGGTATAGCTGTATAGGGTCATGGTTTAGAGTTCATTGTTTGCATGTTTGGGTTATGGAATTATGGTTAAGGGTTGATGTTAGTTTTAGGGTTAATTACTTAATGTTGTGATTTAGGATAATGTATGGTTGATGGTTAAGGTTAGTTTTAGGTTTCAGATTTAAAATGGTGTTATAGGGTTAGGGTTTCTTCATGGTTATGCTTTGTGATAGATATTTTGTTTTTTTATAGTTTATTAAATAATTTGATTTTAACAATTAATTTAACTTGTGAATGTAAATCTTAAATATATCATATTCAAATGAAAATCTTAATTTGATTTTATAAACCCCAAATATTTGAGGAAACAATCATTTTTAACCCCCAAAATTTGATCCAAACGTGAAAGATTTGTACAATTTAAATGACCAATTGTTAGTCACGGTTAATTCTCGTAAATAATCTGTCAATTTACCTTTTACAAAATATTCTTCCAAAATTTTAGGAGGTAGAATTTCCTTTCACTCAAAAATTTGATTTGGCTCCAAAAATTGCTTTGCTCCAAAAATTTGCTTTGTCTAAAAAATCCCGCCAACAGCAAAAATCAACCCGCCATTCCCAATTATTTTGAGAAGAACTAACTCTTTTCTGGCTCCAAAATTTCCTCATCTTTTCTTTATGGTTCCATCTTTCCTTCATAAATTCTAATCCTTATCTCTCTGAGTCTTCATACCACAAGCCGTTCCCACTCTGTTCTTCCCCTCCCTCCTATTTTCCAGAAAACAAACCCTAATTCTAAATCCACCACCACAACCATCACTCCCTGAAAACTTCTATATTCTCGCTTGATAGAGTACATTGCGAGATTAAAGAAATGCGATCATGGGAAAGGAGAAATATGGGGCCTCGGCCCAGTTTCCCTAACCAACGACGACCAATTGGACTGAGGCGGTGGCGGCATATCTGGGTAGATTCTTCAATCCTCTATTTCCTCGAATCAATGGATACCCATTCAGCAATCTATGTCTGCTTTAAAATGGTTAAACCGCTTTCCTCTGTCTCTCCACCGCTATCGCGCCTCTACTGTCATCTTCTCTTCCGTCGTCCGCAACCCTAACCTCAACACCATCCTCTCTTTTTCTTCCGGAAACATCAATTGGCCAGGCATGCGAGTTTCTTCATTCCTCCTCCATCCTTTGCTACAACATTTTTCCAAAGTGGTGTTGCCTAGCTCAGATCCCATGTCGTTGGCTTCATCCCTCAATTATTGCTGGTAGACAATAGTGACTTTATGGGTCTCGTATTTATTTTCTACTCACGGATATCAGATATTTCATTCTATTCTACATCAATTAGTGGGAGCTCTTCTTGTAATGGCTTCGTTTGGAAATATTTTCTTCATTAGTACAACTGAAATGCAGGGTATGATGTTGGTACTTGAACCCAACTAATGTGGTATGATGTTAATTGTTTATAGTGTGGTGTACTCATGTAGAGGAAATGGCAAGCATCAACTGCAGCACAAGAACAACCAGCAGCAGAAGCAGTAGGTTAATGTGTGTTCTAATTGAACTTTGAGTGTCCAGTATATGTCCTAACTTAACCTTGTTGTGATCCAGGTTCAGCTTAGAGACTGGTGCTGGAAATTTTAGTCTTTTCTGCACTTCCTCATATGGCAGTAGAGGCAAGTCTCTGTCCTGTACTACTAAGTTGTTGCAATTGATTAATTATATAAGGTAGGTAGGTGGTTGTACAAGAAATTGCAGGAATCATTGACGCCATACATTTATTGCTTGGTTTGGATAGTTGTAACTGGTGAGGATGAAGTTTGAGGGCTGTGAGCTTCTATGAAGTTGTTTTTAGTTGAGCTATTATGATGTGCTTCTACTTTGTTTTGTCATGACTTCTTGGGACTGGACAAGTGTTCGTAGTGCTTTGTATATGGTTTATTTATTTCCGATTGCTTCAGTAGTTGAGTTTGCTAGAGAGAGTAGTAACTTTGAACTCCTTTGAATTATGTTTCTAGGGTGGGAAAGGCTTGAAGGTCTTAAATGCTTTGAGCGGACAATTGGAAGCAAAATTATGGAATCGATGAAGAAAAGGCAGACCTGGAAACTATAGTTACGGAGCAAGAAAATGTTATCTCATAGATCTGTAATTGGTTCTCATTAGGTTGAGTTTCATCATACAACAATGAGTTTTTTTTTTAAATTGTATGTTATTTACCACTGATCCAGAAATGATATTTGTATCGGTTGTATTCATATTAATGTTAGAATCTAATGTTACAAAGAGTTCGTGTTTTCAATTTCCATGTTAATATATGTATAGTGGATATATGACTAGCGGTTTATAATTAGCTACGCGAAAATGCAGTGCTAGGTATTAGTATTTAATTACAGTTACAGGAAGTTAATAATTTGTAGATGAAGTTGAGTAAGGAATATTAAAAGTGTGTGTTACCATATAAAATAAGAATGAAAGTTAAATTATACTAGAAAGCACGAATGTGAACAAAATAAAAGCACGACATAGACATGATCAGGCACGGCTTGACTCGTGCTTGGGCCCGGGCCGGGCCTAATAAAACTGTTGAATGGGCTTGTATGGCACGGCACGAAATTTAATGGGATGTGCCTAGCACGACACGAAAAATATGGGCCCGAGATGGGCCCGTGCCGTGCCGGCCTAAGCACGGCCCAGCGCCCATGTACAGTCTCAACTCTCAACTATCAAGACTCAAGAGATGGTTTCATAGGTTTATGATCAAACAATTTGTCAGCTTTTTAATTTCTTGTTGTTCAACTATTTATTTATGTTGGTTCTGTAACCTTAATGAATCCTCTACAAGGTACCAACAACTAGCAACATCAAACTTGTTTATGATATATTCAAGAAAAATCTAGTCATTCATTTGTTTAATAATGTACATTCATGTTTTATTCATTGCAATATGGTGATCGGTGAGTTTGTTTTAAATTAGTGAAATAACTCCCTAAAAAAAATAGTGTAATAACTAATTATAAAAAAAACTCGATGAAGTGGACCGAACAACCCGCAACCCGACCTGTTGTAACTCGCAATCCGATCAACTCGAACCCTATTGATATGCAACCCGATCAACCCGTAACCCGACTGATCCGCAACCCGATCAACCCGAACCCGATCAACCCGCAACCCGATCAACCCGCAACCCGCTTGACCCGCAACCCGATTAACCCGCGACCCGACTGAACCCGACCCGAACCTGCCCGATTGACACCTATACATATATATATGGTGGCGTCTTCGATGCACTCACTTTTTTTGGTGCATTCAGTGCACCTGCTTCATAACCGTCATTATAAACATGCGATTTATGTCAAAATGATGTCAATCATCACTTATGTTGTGATGAACAATAACACACATGAATTTGCACAAAAACCATTGAAGATTTACTTTAATTTGAAGGATTTAGAGTTTAGAGATTTAGGGTTAGGGTTAGGGTTTAGAATTTGGGTTTTAGGGATAGAACTCAAAATTTGAGGTCTAGGGCTTAGGGTCATCCGCTAATTAGTTGTTATTATATGTTATATCATCATATTACACTAATTCTACAAATTAAAATTCAAAATCAGACACCTTAAGCGTAGTTTTTTAGTTGGGTGCATTGGACGCACTCATTTTTGTGAGTGCACCGAAGTAGTCATCATATATAACATAAAAACCCTAACCATAGGCGGAGGGAGGGCAGTTTGCTCTTGTCCTAGGAGAGGGGCAAATTTTGGGAGGAAAAAAAATAATCCTATATATGTTTGAACGGAAAATAAACTCAACACCTACAAGTAATATATGGATATGTTGCCACTACATTATAATTCATTACTAGTTCATTAATTGTCAAAAAATAATTAGTTTATTGGTTTCATTCATGACACTATTATTCGACAACAGATTGTTGGGTATTTTTATTATTTTATTGCTGATGAGAGTTTTGTTGGCGTTGGATTGAATGAAATTGATAAATGATCTCAGATCATGGTGGACACAAAAGTGCATAAGTTATATCAGTCAGTTTATTTGCTTCTGAAATTAGTTTTGATACTACCAGTTGCAACTCCAAACGTACAAAGAGCATTTTAGATTGATATATTAAGAACAAGTTTCGAAGTCGAATTGATGATAAGTTTGTTAATGATTGTTTAGTGGGAATATTGAAAGAAGCTCACTTAAGAGTGTAAACAGTTTATGTATTTTGTAATTCTTTCATAATATGAAAACGTGTCGTGGTTGTTTATGCAAACAATAATTGTATTAATTGCTTATTTCTTTATCTATTAATGAATTATTTGAATATTATTAATTTTAATTTTAATTATTTATATTTTTATATTTTGAAAAAAGGACAGGGGTAGTTCCGAATCCTGCCTCCACCACTGACCCTAACCCCACCCCACCCAAAGCAGCAGCGCCGCAGACCTTCCCCAATCACCCCCTCAATGTTTGACACCCCCTCTCTCTCACAAGACTCAAACTCCCGTTCTCCTCTTTCATTCTTCGTTCTGCAATTCTTCTCCACAAAAAACCTACCACACTCCCGCCATGGTGCCACCACCCCCAACCTCACCGTCTCCCTTTGGCGAATCTCCGACAAGAGCGGCACAGCAACTCCGATGCCACCCCCGCTTCGTCATCCCAAATATCGCCTTCCTCCACCCCACTCACTGCCGCTTTCAGATCCGAGCTTCGCCAGTCGCCTCACCTCCCATCACTTTTTTATTTTATTTTTTCAGTGGGCGGCTAGAAAGCAAAATCGGGCGAGCGGCCCGAATGGTTAACCGTCTCGGCCGCTCGCCAACCGCTCCAAAAAACCACTTTAGCTTATTGACTGTACCGAGCCAGCTTGGAGGCCTGGTGCTGGTTTTACCGGTCGAACCAACCGTCTCGGGTTGGTTTTAATAACACTGAAAATTATTATTAGTTTACGCGGGCAGTTGATGTTGGCCTTTTGTCCCATCGTCGGCCTCAAATCAGCCACTGAAAGCCTGCTAACAATAATTACTAATTAATCTTTGAGTGGTTTTTATTTGTTGTTGGGATCAAGATCATTCATTCATGCCCTCCCATTTCTCATCTCTTTTTCGCAGATGATTCCTATTTGTTTTTAAGGGCTTCTAGGAGGGACAACATTGCTTAGCTTCAGTTACTTCATTACTATGAATATTTGAGTGGGCAACGAGTAAATCTTCATAAATCTGCAACGTATTTCTGTCCTAACCTTCTTCAACCGGATCAAGAGGAGCTAAGTTTTGTGTTGGGGGTGGGTTCGTTTGGTTTGAAAGATAAATATCTTGGGTTGCTATCTCTTATGGGTCAATCCAAGGTTGATACTTTTCGGTTCGTTGAGGAGAAATTGTTAGAAGTTCTTCAAGGGTGGAAACAGCGGGCTTTATCCGTAGTGGGAAAAGAAGTTCTTCTTAAAACAATAGCCTTGGCGTTACCGATTTATGTGATGTCATATTTTCGCCTTCCATCTGAACTTATTCGCAGGTTAAATGCTCATATGGCAAGATTCTGGTGGGGGGGCTACGTATACACAACGTCTCATTCATTGGAGGGTTTGGAAAGGGTTATGTGCTAGTAAATTTGAAGGGGGTCTTGGGTTTAGAGATTTTGGGTGTTTCAATCAATCTTTTCTTGCTAAAGTGGCTTGGTGAATCATTCAGGAACCAACTTCTCTTCTTGCAAGAATTTATCGAGCTCGATATTCTTTGGTGCAAATTTTTTATCAATTTCGTCAAGGAGAAATGCCTCCTGGGGTTGGCTTGGCATTCATTTTGGAAGGGACCTTTTGGTGAGAGGGATGAGATGGCAAATTGGGGTTGGGGATTCAATCAGGGCGTTCTCTATGCCTTGGCTTCATTCTTCTCCTCCATCAATTCCAAGTCCGAAGCAAGGAAGTACTCCTTCTCCTATTTTTGTTTCTCCTCTCATTGATCCTAGGACGCACTCTTGGAACATCCGAGATCTTGAGCATTTCTTTTCTCCTTCTTATGTTGATTCCATTCGCTCCATTCCTTTACCTGTTCGATCAGTGCCTCCTCGGTTAATTTGGCACTATGAATCTTCAAGGATCTTCTCGGTGAAATCTGCTTATCATTTGGCTTTCTCCTACCTTAAATCTCCCTCTCGAAAGCTTGGCGCTTCCCCTTTAGATCAAACTGTTTAGAAATGGGTTTGGAACAGTGTTCGTCCACCGAAGTTGCATTTCTTTTTGTGGCAATGCCTTCTTCGGATTTTGCCAACTAGGGAAGCTTTATTCATTCGAGGAGTTGATCTTCTTCCTCCTGTTTGTGGGCGTAAGGAAGAGACAATTAAACATCTTTTCTTCACTTATTCGGTTGCGGAGAAACTCTGGCATTTGGTTGGTTTGGGGAATCATCTTCAGCACTGGGATTCTAGAACTTTTTATGGATTTGTCTGGTTTTCTTTGCGTTCCCTTGATGGTCTGGAATCATATTATCTTGTTTTTCAGGTTATCTGCCTTCTTTGGCGTCTATGGAAGAATTGATGCTTTGTGCATTTTGATCACAAACAGGTTCTGCTTCCTACACTGGCGCCACAATGGAGACATCAAGTTCATTTCCCTGCAGGTTCGTCAATTCGTTGTTCGGCTCAGTTTGATGCTGCAATAAAGTCGGTGACAAGTGGAGTAGCGTCTTATATTGTGCTGGATGATTCAGGGGGTCTTCTCTCGGCAAAAGTCAAATCATTATTATGGGATTTGGGATCCACTCACGGTAGAAGCATTAGCTCTGCGTGATTGTCTGCTGGAGTGCCGTCGACATCAACTTCATTCGATTAACATTGGTGGTGATGCGAAAGTTCTGACTGATAAATGTCGGAAGAAAGATGTTTTAGATGCAGGGGCAGGATCGATTATGCAAGAGATCTGTTCTCTTTTGGAGGATTCACATGGTTCAAAAATTCATTTCATTGGTCGATCTAGAAACAGAGTGGCTCATTCAGTAGCTCGTCATGCTCTATTGTTGTCGCCTCAAAGGGGGTTTGACTACGTTTCTTGGTTCAATAGTCGATAGGTTCCTTGTAATCTGGGATCGTTTCTATCCTATTATTTAGAGTGATCGTTTGGAAAAAAAGAAGTAATTACTAATTAATCAAATTTGGTCACATATACAACAATATCCTTGTTTTTTCTTTACAGAGTCTCATTGTCTAGTGTGCAAGGGCGGGGGAGAGTGTAAGAGGGTTTATATTACCCAAAAATTGTGGAAAATAAAAATATTATATATATAGTGTTCTAAAATATATTTACACAAATATTGTGTAAGGGAAATATATTATGCGAGAACATGCATACTGAGTATAACTATTAGCAGTTTAGCAGCTACTGAGCTAATCAAGTGAAGTTTAGCTTAGCATGTGTGGCGCACATCTATAGCTCAACCAATACCAGTTTTGCTTAGCATGAGCGGTTAGGGGTGTGCAGCGGTTTGGACCAAATCGTACTTATAAAAACATCGTTCCAATTGTGAAAAGACATTTTAGAACCAAGGACCGTACCAACAATCAATTCAGATAAATTTTTTTAGTACTTATGTAATTCATGGGGACCAAAGATTATACCATATTGTGTTTGGTTTGATATGATCTGATCCAAACGTCGATTTGGTCTGATACGGTATGAACCAAACCGTTGCACACCTCCTAGCGCGGCCTCGCACATTATAGTCTCTAGCGGACAGCGGTCATCTACGGCAACGTGAAGAAAAATTATACTATTTTGTTACAATAATTATGAAAAGGTAGATCTGATAGTTTCTCACAAATATTCACTCTTTCTCCCACAACACTCACTTAATCTTTCTCAAAATGATGTCACCCATCGACCATCGTCAATAAGTTGCTCCCAACATACTCTCTCGTCACTTAAAGCATTTTACAAATGATAGTAAGATATGTATCTAACTTTTTTTTATTTATTTTAGTTGGTTCACTACAATACATGATATTTATTGAATTAGTCTCAACGTTAGCTTGTTAGCATTGTCGAATTAGATGTTCTTGTTTTATTAAATAGTTAGGCACAATACATATGTGTAGCCAAATCTTTCGTGTTTATGACAAAAAAATAGCCACTTTTCGAGAAATACATCAAATAGCCAGAATATTGGAAGTATGACACATATAGCCATTTTTGTTACAAACTTTAACAGCGTTAGTGATGCCTTTAATTATTTTAACGGTATGCTTACTAGGCTGCCAACTCACCAGACACGTCATCGACAACTCAACCTTCGATGACAGGTGGGATGACACGTCATTTCTATTTAAAAATAATTATTTTAAGATTTTTATACAACAAAATTACAAGAAAGAACATAAATTACTTTCTTCCCCTCTCAGCCTCTCCTTCCTCCGACTCCCTTTCCTACAATCCGCCGCCGCCGTGCAACCCCTACTCTCCACCTCCGTCCATCACAATCCTCACCGCCGACACGACCAACCCTCCTGGATGGCGGAAAGGGGGTTGGGAGGCGAGGCAACAAAGATGAATCTGTGGGAGGCCCCCTACCGCCATCTCTCTCGATGAAGAAGAACGGGAAATGGCAGCAGAGAAGATGCAGGCGCGACCAGGTCTGGTCTCACCATCCGAAGGGTTGGAAGAGGAGGACGACGAGAATGGAGGCTACCTTCGAGAGAGACTGCGAAGAGGAAGAAGTGCCTTGGAGAGAGACGGCGGAAACAAAGAAATTAAGGGCTCTCCAGATCCGCAATTTGGATAACAGAAGCATCTGGGTTCTGTTCACCATTTCCAGATCCGCAATTGCGACTGCCGTTGAAGCTTCTTGATTTTTCCAGATCTCCAATTTGGGTAGCAAAGAGGCAAGAACGTCGTCATTCCATTCAATTTTGATCCTCTCCACGACTACCCATGCATATGATCCAATAAACGACATGGTCGGATACTCCATCAAGCAAACAAGACAGATTTTTGTTGGTTGCGATTTGGGACCATATGTATGGTTCTGTCCTGCCACCTAAAGGCTAGCTCAACGATTTCCTTACCAACTGAAAGACAAAAATGAGTAATTACACATGAAAATTGACAACCCAACAAACAATCAAAGAGAGCATATCAAACAACAAACAAGGGTAGGAACAGACATCAACCACAGTTCTAAACTACATGACACCCACGGCCTCGGGCGCCATCCCCATTACTCCATACAATATATAATATTGTATTGGAACACAATCGTGATCAGTGGTAGTATTGCAATTGTATGGGATGAGATGGGTGGATTAATGTATCTAATGTGTAACCATACAAAACAACTCAGTGTTTAACCCCATATTTCTTTTTTATAATCATTACATAAGTTGATTATATGATTAGATACTACCGTAAGGATTTAAAGCTGAATTCAAATATGAAATTTTCATATTCAAAACTAGTAATATTACTACTAGTAGTCAAACCCTTGTTTATTTATCTTCATAATTTTTTTTAATAATCTCATCTTCTCTTGGCTGATAAATGAGGTCTACTAGCATAGCAAGGGTTTCGAGTTTAATTCCACTATTAATTATTGAGCCACAATGATGGTTTATGAGGTCTACTAGCGTAACAACACCCTACTTCCTATCATGATGTTCTCTTTGGTTAATGAGACCGCGAGCTGCATCGAAAACCAATTGAAGTCAATCTTCATTAATTAGAGGGATTCAATTGAAACCTTATGTAGCATAGGCACATGCATACTTATTACCATCCTCTCTATATGCATAGTAGCCTTGTTGGTATTGCAAAGCACATACTATATTTACCTAGTTATGTTGGTAGATCCTATTGGTTGGTTTAATCACACCTAATTAGTTTTGAAAATTTTCTTCTCATTATGGGTCGTGCGATGCGACCAAAGGACGTTTGGAGGCTCAGTCGTCCATGCCCCTTTGACGTCCCAGAGACGCTTCTTCAATCCTTCAAGAATAAGTTTGTTGGATGCTTCGGCCCGGCCGTTGGTTTGTGGGTATGCCATTGATGCCATGGTGCACATGATGCGGTTTCTTGCACAAAAATTTTCGAATGGCTGGCAGTCGAATTGCGTGCCATGGTCGGTGATGATCGATTGCGGGATACCGAAGCGAATCATAATGTTGTTGAACACAAACTTTTGCACTCTTGCGCTTGTGATAGTCTCCACCGGCTCCGCTTCGATCAACTTGGTGAAGTAGTTGACTGCTTCTATCAGATAGTTCTTGCCAAGTGGAGCCGTGGGAAAGGGTACGAGAAGGTCCATTCCCCACCTGGCAAACGACCACGGTCCCGTCATGCTCTACAGTTCAAAGCTGGGGAGGTGGTGTCGGGTGGCGTGACTTGGCAGGCATGGCATTTTTGGAGGACGTCTAATGTGTCTTGCTTGATCGTTGGCCAGTAGTAACCTTGTAGGTGGATTATCCTTTCGAGGGATTGGGGTCTTGCGTGTGTGGCGCAATGTCCCTTCGTGTATCGCTCTCAGGGTCTACCGCGCCTCTTCTGGCCCGAGACATTTCAAGTACGCTCCGGAGAATGACCTTTTGCACAACTGTTCGTCCACCATCGTGTACCGAACGGCCTTTTGCTTGAGCGCCTTTCGCTCGATTGGATGTTGTGGAGCGATGTTGTGCTCCAGATATTGGACCAAGGGCGTCCTCCAGTCGACAGGTTCTCCGACATTCATGACCTCTTCCTGTAAATACCTCTCCTTCGTGACAGTGACATGCCGATCCTCTTCGAAATCCATGGCGGTTGCCAGCTTAGAGAGCGCATCGGCATGTTGATTGTCGTCCCGTCGAACGTGGTCGAGCTTTCAAGTGTTTAGAAATGCCAGAGCGCTCCTGACTTTGTTGGCTAGAATGGCCAGCGTTTCATCCTTGATTTCGAATGCCTCATGTACATGTTTCACTACCAGGAGGGAATCTGAGAATATGTGCACGTCGGAGGCACCCAAACTGGAGAGTACTTTTAGCCCGTTGATGAGAGCTGCATATTCAGTGACGTTGTTGGTTTTGATGTCTTTGAATCTTAGCGAGATTTCATGGACGACTCCATGTGGCAACTCTATGACTATTCCTGCCCCTGAGGCGATTTTTTCTCTTGGCTTCGTCGGTCAATAGGTGCTAGACCCGATTGCGCTCCTCTAAGGGAGTGGTTTCGAGGGAGAATCCTTCGGCGATGAAATCGGCGAGGACTTTCCCATTGTTGACCGGTCTCGGGGCATACTTGATGTCGTATTCACTGAGCTCGATTGCCCATTTGGTCAGTCTGCCTGAGGCATCCATACCTCGCATAATGCTCCTGAGCGGATGGTTGGACAGCATTTTGATGAGGTGCTCTTGGAAATACGGCCTTAGTTTCCTGGCTGCGGAGGCCACGACGAGAACCGCCTTCTCAACCGGCATGTACCTTATTTCCGTTGGGAGAAGTGCTTTACTCACATAATAGACAGGTTGGTCAGAGCCGTCTTCCACTCTTCTCCCCATGATCGAGCTTACGCCCTTCTCGGAGACCGCTAGGTAGAGGTAAAGACGCTCCGCGAGAATGGGGGCGCTCAAGACTAGTGGGGAGCTAAGTTGGTTTGTTAGCAGTTCAAAAGCCTTGTCACACTCGGCGCCCCACTAGAGTTTTGATGCCGACTTTTTTAGCATTTGGATGAAGGGAGAGCACTTATCTGCGGACCGTGGGATGAACCTCACGAGTGCAGCCATTTTTCGTTGAATGCTTGGACTTCTTTGATTGTCTTTGGCGGCTTTAAGTTGATTATGGCCTCGATTTGCTTTGGGTTGGCTTCTATCCCCCTATTTGTGATCATGAAGCCTATGAAATTTCTCACTTTGGCGCCAAAGACGCACTTGAGTGGGTTGAGTCTTAGGTTTCTACGTAGCAGATTCTCGAAAGTCACTCGCAAGTCGGATAGGTGGTCGCTAGCCTTCTTGCTCTTGACTAGAACATCATCTACGTATGCCTCTATATTTCCCCCCATTTGGTCTTTGAAGACCGCATCGACCATCCTTTGGTAGGTCGCTCCTGCATTTTTTAATCTGCAAGGCATGACAACGTAGAAGAAGTTACCCATGTGAGTCATGAACACGGTTAGCTCTTGGTCTCCTTTTGTCATTCTGATTTGGTGGTATCCAGAGAACATATCCAAGAAGCTGACTGCTTCTTGGTTGGTGGTTCCGTCGATTAGGTGGTCAAAGCGGGGAAGGGGGTATGAATCCTTGTGACACGCCGCATTGAGGCTGGTGAAGTCAATAAAGCGAACCCTACTTTGAGCACAAAGACTGAGTTTGAGATCCATGTGGGGTATTGTACTTCCCTGATGAAGCCAACTTTGAGTAGACGCCGCACTTCTTCTTCGAGAGCCAGTTGCTTCTCTAATGACAAGTGCCTTATTCGCTTCTGTATTGGCCGAACTTTTGGCTTGACAGAGAGCCAATGTTCGAAAATCCTGAGGGAAGGTCGGGCATGTCTTTCGGTCCCCATGCGAATCAACTTCTGTGCTTCTTCTTCGGCCAAGTGTGCCGAAATGCATACAGCCTTGTCCGGCCGCTCTTCGTTTAGAGCGACTGCTATGTCGCCATCGACCGCTTTGGGACGCGGGACGTCCCCTCTTGCATCGACGAGGTCGACCTCGAGGTGCTCAATGGTTGCCTGGTAGCATTCCTTGGGCTCTTTTAGCTTGCCTCGAACGCGTCCCGTTTGCCTCCGCTAGGAAATTTCAACATCTGGTGGCATATGGAAGCGACCGCTTCGAAAGATGCAAGGAACCCGTGCCCCAGGATGGCGTTGTAAGCCGAGGGACAGTATGCTATGTGGAACTCCACCGGACGAGCCTTCGTGATCCTGCCCTCGCCTATGGTGACCTTGAAAATTATTGATCCAAGGACACGAACCTTTATTCCTGAGAACCCTACAAGGATGGTGTTGGAGAGCTGGAGGTCTTGGACGCTCTTGTTCATGCCTTTGAGCGCTGAGTAGAAGAGGATTTTGCGGAGCTTCCATTATCTATTAGGGCTCGAGTGACCTTGAATTGGCGATTCTGAAGGAGATGACCAAGGGGTCTTTCGTGTTTTCTTCTTTGGCCAACTCGGATGGCAAGAAGGTGACGTCGGTTGGCACTCTGCGTTGGACACTAAGGCAATGGGCTATGCGGTCTCCCTCTGATCTTGTTCATTTTCTTCCTCCCGCGATGGTTATAATCTCCATTCCGTCGTCGTCATTGCACGGGGGTCTGTAGGCGGGAGACTGCCTCTAGTGAGAGATGACTTTGTTTCTGGAAGAGGATCTTGACCTGTCCTTCCTTTATCTTCTTGTTTTGTCTAGTTTGGGACTCTGGGACCTCTCCCGCGTCTCTTGAGAATGATCCCAATGTGGGCTTCGTGTCTCCTGGCGGCTTCGGAGGTCTCTGGGCGCCAGGTATCTGAGACTTGCCTTAAACTCCATGCACTCTGCAGTGTCATGGGTAGTGATTTGGTGCCAGTCACACCACTTCTTTCCATCTTGCGGTTCTTGGCCGGAGGATGCCTCGTGTTTCCTCCCATCCCTTCTTCTTTCCCTTCCTCGCTCTCGGGCAGCGGAAAATACTTCCCTTTTGTTGTCACGCTCTGTGTATCTGTTTTGATACGTCTTTCGCTCCAGGGAGTGTCTCACACGTAGGGAATCTCCACACTCTTGGGGATCGGCCCGAGGGTGTCCTTGTTGACTCCACTTGTCGGTGGCCAAAGCTTCCTCGAGCAGGATTGCTCGTCGTACCAACTGATTCAGGTCGGTCCAGGATGTTAGCGTGGATTCTTTCTTTATCAAGGTCCTTTTGAGCTTGATGCTGCTTGTGAATATTCTGAGGTAGGTGGCGGCTACGACCAAGGATATGCCTTGTATTTCACATGTGATCGCATTGCATCGGTCGTAGAACTCTGCAAGCAAATCCTACTTTCTTTGACTGCAATTTATGAGGGCTGAGACGGTGAACTTGCGACGTCGCTAGGATGCAAAATTCATGGAGAACAGCATCGCGAACTGCTCGAAATTCTGGATTATCTCTTCTGGGAGGGAGGTGTACCATGTTTGGCACTGACCGCTGAATGTGACTGGGAACGCGTGACACAAGTCTAAGTCCAATGCCTTAATGAGCTGCATCTTTAGCATGAAATAAAGCACAAAGATAGTCTGCGGGATCTGAAGTCCCGCCATATGTGGTTAACCCTAAGGAGGAGAAATTAGGCGGGATTGGGTTTTTGAATAGTTCTCTCGATAGGGGGTTTTGGAGAACATTTGGGCTTTTGTGCTTCCCGTAAGTCGACCGCAGGTGTTCCTCGAGGAAGCCGAGGTCCGCGTCTTCCGCCTCAAGTCCTCCGCCTTCTGTCTGAGCAGGGCAGTCAAGGACGTGGATGGCCTTCTACTTCTCCTCATGCGTCCTTCCCCGTTAATCCACGACGGGGTCTTTCTTTGTCTTCAAGAGCCAAGGATTTGGGTTTATTGGCCCTGACTTTTGACCACCTCATTTAGCTATGTTTCATCCTCGACTCGTGGTGATAGGCCTCGGAGGGTGCTGTTCTCGGTCATCCCTTTAAGAGGGGTTTTGAAATCGTCTCCTTTTTTTTTTGCAACGAAGTCGTGAGGCCCCACGGTGGGCGCCAAAATATTTGTGTCTGGTTCGTACCAGGCGGTTTTGTGGGACTTCGAATGACTTTTGATCATCGGGGGCGGTCTCTGAAACCCTGCGAGAAAGGTCCTCAGGGGAATCCTGGAACCTCCTCCGACGCCAAAGTTAGAGAGAAAAGTGAACGAATTGTAAATGAGAGAGAGAAAGTAGTTGATAGAAGTTACCATAAATGCTACCCTTCAAGGGGTATTTATACTAACTCTGGCGGAGGCTCGGGCATTTAATGGCTTGTCGGGCATTCTGGGACGCTTCTCGGCTCATTAAATGCTCTGTCAGTACGTATCTCTAGCATTCTTCGTACGGAAGGGGCCAAGAGGTCGTTGGTCTTTTGTGTCAGGCTATCTTTTTCAGACGGACCGCGCTCTGATGCCGGGAGGCCTTCGGATGGTGAGGGCCAAAGACCACCTCAGGTCTATGTCTTTATTATTATTATTTTTTTTTTTTTGCCATTCAAACCATCTCCGGGGAGAGGAAGATAAGATCCACACAACGTCAATTACAAACTCCGTAACCAAGGCACATAGTCGAACCTTGACAGGACTCGAGGCGACAAACTCAGGGACTTTTTGGCCACTAAATGAGCCACCATGTTTCTCTGACGACCTACGAATCGCAGTTCACAATCTCCACCGAAACCAGCCAGCAAGGATCCAATCTCTCGCAAAATAGAACCCACCTTTGAATCCTGGTCATCCCCAGCCAAGCACTTGTCCAAGATCACTTTAGCATCACCCGTAATTAGCAGAGGAGTCAAATGCCTACTAGCACACTCCCGTAAGCAATCTCTTAGTGCCAAAGTTTCCAAGACATGAGCATCCGCAATCCCTGGATAAATTGTACTCGTCGCGGCTAACGGGTCTATGTCTTTGTTAGCTACTGAAGTCCAGCCCGTTTGTCATGTGGGCTTTGTTACCATGGGCCTTAGGGCCCACGTATTTCAATACTTGGCCAACCACCGAATGTATTTCTAGGAATTTACACACCAAAAAATCATATCACTTGCCAAATCACATCTCCACAATACATGTATGACATCTAAAATTTATGTTTCCAATTTTTCAGGAAAAAAAATAATATGTTTTGGTTTCAAAGGGCAATCCGAGAAATATGGTATACATTGATTATTAAGTCAGTTTTTACTACAACCTTCTACGTATGTGGTAGAAGAGGTGGAGGTCGATCTTTAGGGGTGGCTATACGGTCCAACCCGGTTAAATTGGCCCGAATTGATCTGGTCTCGGTTCGATCTTTCCGAGAATATGAGGACCGAAGATTGGAATGGATATATTCCGGTTTTGACCCAATTCGGTCTTGACCTGGTCCAGTCTCAATCCAGTCTTGATTTTAGATTGAGATTGTGGTGGTTTGAGTGGTCTAAGGCCTAAAAGGGTGAGGAGTTGGTTAGGTTTTGGGTATTGGGCTCTCTTATCCGGTCTTTATCCGGTTTCCGGTCCGGTCCGATACCAAACGGTTTTTTATCTCAAATCTAACCCTGAAAACGGGATTGGATTGTTTGCTATCCGGTTCCGAAATGGTCTCGATCTGAATTATACGGTATGATTTCGGGTAAAACCAAAAAACCCTGACTAAATAGCCACCTAAACTACTCATTTACTTCCTTCAAGTGGGACATTAATCGTCAACACTGATAGCTCTGTCTCTCACTCTCCCTCGTCATCGACCAAAAAAGGGCAATTGGAAAAGGAACCTTGCCATCAACTTGGATGGTGGGAGTACTGCTATCGAGCTGGTGTAGAAATTTTACATTGTCTGAAGCTATCTTGGGAGATGGGATTAATCAATTGATGAGGAGGTTACTTACAGATTCCTCGCTCATGCACCATCCGATCACATTGTTGTCAACCAACACCATCTTAATTTAGTTGTTTCTATGATTTGACATTTTATCCAACGTTAATAAGCGGTTTAGCTCCAACATATCTATAAAGATCAATTTTGTTTGACCATGATTGCTCCTAAGGACCACGATATGTGCATCTTCTTGTTTTCTTATATTATTGACATTCCAAATGTGTTTGTTGTTTATCATACTTGGGGCATTGTAGTCCAATGTGTTGTTGCTAAATGCTAATGATATCTCGGTTTGTATAAATTGTCGTTTCTTTGTTTTTTTAAATCTTTGGGGACCAGTTGTATCAAAAAGAATTTATATGAATGGAATTGGTGCCTTACCCCCACGAGCAATTAAATGGCTAAATGCCATTTGAGAAGAGTAGCCTAGAAATCTTCGAGCTTTCCCTTTTCTTCTAAGTCCCACCATGTATTTTTCCCTTTTTTTTCCTTTCCATTACAGTTGAGTATCATTCACAATCTCCCACTAAATTCATCACCTGCCCCCATTCTTCCTTCTTTTTATTCAGCCAATTTCAGTGCCATCCATTCCCATTCCTTCCTCTTGCTTTCTTCTCCTTCTTCAGAGCTTTCCAAATTCCACCCCAACAATGGCGGCTGCTGCCTCACAAGTCAAACAACTTCGACAGATTCTCCAAGAGCAGCAGGAACCATTCGTTCTGAAGACTTACCTTGTTGAGAAAGGCTGCTGCATTAGGAGCAATAGCTCAGAGCAAGAAGGAAGCTTTACCTGCTGCCGTGTCACCTCCGGGAAGAAGGGCCAAAAGGGTGTCTCCCATTTGTCCAAGGTGGTCAGAAATCTGTGTGATCAAGTGGGTTCCATCAACGGCAAGAAGCTCAAAAGGAAGAAGAAGAAAAGGCAGAAGCAGAGTCCAGAGGCAGAAGAAGAGAGGTTGTCCTTCGCCAGCTGCAGCTCCAAAAATTTCATATGGTTTTCTACTGAGGGTGATAACGTTGAAGGAAGAGCAAGTTGTTCCTCTTCATTTGTGGATTTCTGCAACTCCAATGAAGAAAAGGTACAAACAAACAAACTTTCCTCGTTTCAAGCTAGTACCTTTGTTTTAATTGCATGATCACTGACAAGAAAGTGAACAACCAGATAGCTGTAGATGGAAGCCTCCAGTGGCGATGCATGGAAGACGAGGATCAGCATTCCAGCCCGGTTTCGGTTTTGGAAGGACCGGCGTCTCAAGAAGAAGACTCTTTTTCCCCTCCAACGAAGAACAGCAGCAGCAGCAGCAGCAGTAAGTATTGATCATCTCCAAAAGTTCCAATCTTTCTTGTTTGCCCTTTCATCCTTGTCATGCAAATTGGTTGCACAATTCAGCAGGTGAGGCCATCATCAGGAAGAAGAAAGACGAGAAACCGAACCAGGTATCGGTGGATGAATCCATTATTGCATCAGCATCTGTGTGGGGAGTTCTGTTACAGAGAGCAATGGCCAGGGTTGAAGCTACTGAAACAGGGGATCCCCTGAAACCAAGCAGCAGGAATAGCAGTTTGGAATTGGAGAAAACGAAGAAGCAACTTCTGTTTGATTGCATACAAGAGGAGATGGAACTAGAGACCCATCACAGCAGGATGCAGAGTTGTACGAGTAGTGCTAGGATAATGAGACCGCAAGCATGGAGTAGGAGATGCAAAACAGGAGGCGGGTTCGAGCTGCTATCGGATTCGCTTGCGCAACGAGAATGGAGCGATGACGGCGAGCAGTGCAGGGAGATCGGACAGGAGATTGCAGATGCCATTCTGGAAGAGATTAGGGATGAGATCATGGATTACTTGACTGGTCCGTGATCTCTCCCCCTACTATACCATTAACTCGTGTATTTACCTACTGTCTTGATTTCTCTTCACATTTAGTCTAAATATAGGATCACTGTACATAAGCAAAAAGCAGGCTATGCCCGCAACTGTACCAACAGAGAAATAGCTCCACCAGTTCTCTCAACTGCTTTCACCTGCTTCATGCACCAAGGGTCAAGATATTTGACTTGAACTTTCACATATAAAGATAGTAATGTTTCAGTATGAGATAGATGATCAATCGATTTTGGTGATCAGATATGTATACCCATATTATTGGGGACCATTTTTGTGCCTAGAAGGATGAGAAGATTTGGCCACTTGTTTTTTTGGGGAGTTTAGAGCTGTTCATCAAACATCATTGATATTTCCAAGTATGGAAAGAACCTTAACTCTTGGACTTGGTCGCCCTACAGTACGATCTGGCACGATAAACCACGATAAAGCACGAAATCAAAGAATTTTATAGTAGGAAATGGGTAATTTTGCATTCTGCTAATTTCAACAAAATAATTATAAAATATCATTAACGAATTAGTCAGACTATGACAGGCCACCTTGATCATTTCACTAGACTGCAGGAGGTAGACGTATAAACCAACCGCAGAAAACATATAAATGACTACTGGTCCTAACGTGCCTTCATAGACACAAAAGACCATGGCATCCGCACCAATGGAAACCAGCCTTACTCAAAGTGACCCTTGTTAGTTGTTACCCTACAGCCACCTAAGGGCACATTTCCATGTCTAAACGGTTTAACTGTACTGAGAAACACAAAAGAACCCAAGCTTGTGATGATAACAAAAGTAGAAGATGACTATTAAGGGGGACCAGTTTGTGCCAAAAGTGGGATTAAAGACACAGTTTCACTCATTAAAGGTGAAGATAATAAACCAATTAGACAACTGGCACAGGAACACCTCGATGGATCCTAACATTATCTATTATTAGATATATCTGAGCAGACCCAGAAACTTTTAAAACAACTACTGGTCCTTGAATCATAGGGCACAAGAAACACAACAGTCCCCACACATCACAGCAGACTGCCTGCACTCGATGGGAATGTTGGAACTACCCAGTAACTGGACCAATCTGAATCAGCCTACTTTAAGTGACCCAAGGATACAGTCGTTGTGACTCTACATCATCCAGTGAACTTTCCCAGGTACCAAACTTAACTCGCAATATTGCAGGTGCCATTTGTAAAGATGGTGGGTACTGGGTAATGGTATTTTTTTTCCATGGCCTAAATGGCTAATCATCCTAAGCAACAAAAGGAAACAAGTTGTATGCTAGGAAGAGGACAGACCTACAACCCAATTTCTCCATCCTCACCAACTTCTCCATCTTCTAGCTCCAGCAGCTCATCATGACCGCTATTCCTACTGCGCTCTTTCTTATGCTTCTTGTGCCGGCTCTCACTGTCTGACTCGGGTGTGTATGAGCGCTGCAACAAACGCAAGGAGCAACGGTAAAAAGATGAAAAATAACCCATCAAGTCCCAATAGTTTTTAACAGTCAATCAACAGTTGTCTGGAGGCCCCATAATGAGTACCTTTCTGGACCTTTTACTACGATCACTGCCATGTCTGCGTGATTTTCTACTACTTGGTTCCTCTATCTCATCTTTATCCGAGCTTATGTCATCATCAGCAGCAGCGTTGTTACTCTGATGATGTCTCTTCCTGTGTTTCCTGCTGTCTTTATCCCCTCTCTTCTTCTCATCTTTGTGCCCATGACTCTCACTAACAACAGCATCCATATTCTCACTATCTGTGTCCTCTTTTTTCATACTACGTTCTTTTCCCTTGTCCTTTTCTCTTTCTCGTTCTTTCTCCTTCTCCTTCTCCTTCCTCTCTTTCTCTTTATCTTTCCGCCTCTCCTTCTCTTCTTTCTCTTTCTCCTTTCTCGCCTACCAAACGAGGGGGGAAAAACATAGCAACTTAATTGTGTTCTCAGCAGGGAGAGATAAATCCAGCCCCAGAGTACAATGCTATGCAAACAACCATACTCAGATATGTGATATGGGTACCTTTTCTTCTTCACGCTTACGTTCCTTGTCTTTAGCCTTTTCCTGTAGATGTGCAATATATTCCTCGAAAATCTCTTTGCTCAAACTCTCTTCCCCAATTGCCCTAAAACCACAGAAAAGTCATGTGAGGAAAAGGTCATATCCACAAAGAACAAAGTTACTGATCTATATTGTGACGAAACTTTTCCAGAGACCTGTACTGCTGGCTATCTTCGATCAATGGTTTTGACTCCTCCCAGGTAGATGATGCGACGATCTCCTTCAAAGATGATATACCAAATATTTTCAAAAGAGCAATTCCAGAAACTAATATCCAGATAAGCATGTACATTAGCACAGACCATAGGTAAGGGTTCAGACAAATTCAGCCATACCTTATATGAATGCAACAGTTCTGTAAAATCATCAGCAAGCCGCTGCCGCTTTTTAGCTTCTTTCTCTTCTTTCTCCTTGGCTCTCTCCACTAAATCCTCATATACAAGCTGCCCAAGTGCACACAATTGTCATTTAATCCAAGCTACCACTATGTGCATACCAACACTATATCTACAAGTCTATAACATCATATGTATTAATATCCAGCAGTGAAGATGGATGAAACACTCCAAAGCCTTTATCATTGCAAAACATGTAAACCACCTCAAAGTTTATATCTGATATATACTGAGAATCAATGTCCTTGGCAATAGCAGTCTTGAAGTCCTCAAAAGTCCAAGTCGTAATCAAGCTTATCTGGAAATAGTGGGCCAGAAATTAGGAATAGATGAGATAGAAATGGAAAAAATAAGAAGAAATAGGGTCTCGTTCTTGCCTTTGCTGACTTCATTGCATCCTTTATGTGAGTCTTATCTTCGTGATACTGTCATCATTAATATGCTAAAGTTAGTAAAATACATTATGATGAGAACGTCAAAAACTTAAAATGGAATATATACCGAATGATGTCAACAATATAAATATGGTGCCATTGAAATAGAAAGTCATAAAAAAAAAACATGCAATTGAGTTGGGTAACCTTCAGGCACGAGAACCAGACAACATAGGAAGAATCCTTTCTACACATCCCATGATCAAACCATAAGGAAGCACCACAATTCGCAGATGTTTCTATGGGGCAATGTTACTATTACAAGGTTATGGTGCAATGTTATTTTTACTAGGCCAGCCGCTTGGGGTTTAAAATCTAACATTTTGTCTCCTCAATGCAGGTCAATTAATCACGCAAGTCAGGAAAACAACTGTACAAGAGTTCAGACAGAACTTTAAAAGGAAAATGATTGAGTCACTATAACACAATCTTAAACCAGAAACATAGTTGATCATGAAGCAAACAACAAGAGAATCTAGATACTTACCTGTTTCTCCAAGTCTTCATACACATCCTCAAATAGCTCTTTTGGTGTTGACCCTGAGGTATTTGCTGCAACAGCTTCATATTCAGGAAGATCCTTTACCTGCGACCAACAGAACACATACAAGCCCATAAACAACATTTTCAAGAAACAAAATTTCTCTAACTCATTACAAATATGTCAAGAAAGCACCTTCAAACAATAATCCAGCCAATGAGTTCTGGCGGTCAGAGTACCAGCTGCAACATGTCCTTCCAACAATTTTCGAAATGAGTCTCGGTTTTTCCGTTCAGCCCGCCTCTGCTGTTCCTGTTTCAAATTCAAAATGTAAATACAAAAAAAAAACAGAAAGATATATTTAGACTTAAAATCATCGATGTGTTGATTTAGAATACTGAGATTGTTGAACTTGGTAGCACAAGCTAGTTTTGTTGTTTTCTGGAGTAAAATTTGAAGGAAGATAGCAATTGTATACAATGAGGTTGCTAAGATACAAGCCATGTAAAAATAAGTATGATTGTTTATAAATGCAGGGACATTTAAGAAAAGAATTCTCTGAAAGTATCAAGAGAAGAAGCTTGCATTCTTCACTGGCGCAACCTTCCAACAAAATCCCAACTTCCAGATCAAGTCATGGTATATGGGACTTAGTATTCATGCAGCTATACTGTACCTTATATGCCTTCTTTTGTTCCTCGTCTTCTCTCTCCAAGTCACGAATGTAGTCCTGCAACCAATTACCAGTTTAAATTTCCGAAACATTCCCTTCAGAAACAAATATACAAGATTATACCTGATAAATGAGCAGTCGTTCAAGTTTCTCAATTCGCAGACATGTCTCGTCATCCTCCAATCGATCTTGGACTTTCCGCCACTGGCTGTTTACCTGCCGATAAAACAACAATTAAGACTAGCTTTTCGGTTCACAGTAGTCATCTGTGTCATGAGTGTTAAATAATGAGTACCTTAATGAAGTCGCAAGATTCCAAAAACTTCCTATACTCTGATACATTCCTTCTATGCTCCTCTGCAGCCTTCTCCTTTTCCTGTGATATTAAAGACACAAAAGTCAATAATAAGCAGAAAGGAAAGAATTGCACAAACTGAAACAATATGCTACAATGGATTGACAAACAAACATTCAGGATGCTTTTATACACAGTGAACATGAAAAGTCAGGCTTCAAAAACTTGTTTATTCAATGACTCAACATCCAGCACCAATGAGAATGCACTGGAAGGAGGGGGGAAAGGAATAGGTTTAGTTTTGCTCTTCTGCATTTCTATACTTGTAGCAAACATTATACAGCAAAGTATGCAACTAAAGATAATGTAACCAAATACTCTAATCTCAATACTGTAAGGTAAGATCAGCGTATTCCAACTGCCCAGAAACTGAAAAGGATTTGATCGTGTTCCGGATTAAAGAAGGGTGGAATAATGAATGATCAGACTAATGAACCGATAGATAGTACAGAAGGACAAATTGATTCATACCTTCCTTTCAAGTTCTACCATGTAGTTGTCAAAAAGATCCTCCCGGTCTCGGACTTTCTCAACAGCCTTAAACCGCTCATCATTCTCAAACAAGCTTAACGCCTTGCTGAAATGGACAAAAGGTGCAGTGAGAAGCTTAACATTATAAGAACATCAGATGTCACCAAGAACATAACGAAAGTTGAACCTCCACTTCATGGACGATGTAAGTTCTGTGGACTCCTGAATAAGATCAACAAAACCACAAGGATTCACACAATCAGAAAACAAAAATTGGAGCAAAGAATCAAGTGAGCTAAAGTTATATGCCACTTACTTCCAGCATCTTCGAAAATTCCTCGCGAGCTTTTTTCTGTCTCGCGCGTCTCTCCTCGGCTTCTATTTTCTTCCTTTGGCCCAGATACTAGAACCAAGACAACATAATCTCAACAATAGAGTGCAAGGGTCATCGGTATAAAGTAAAATACACTAAAACAGGATTTAATTTGACGTTTACCTCATTAAATGCTTGCTTCCGCTCTCCAAGTGTCCTTAAGGCACCGTATCTTTTGTCGTTAACAATTTCTCTCATTGTCTGGCATGTCGAAATCATTGACCTTTGATTAGAGAAGTACAAGCAAGGCACCAACCAGATGAAGAAAAAAACACTATACCTGCTCCCACGACCAATCAGACTGAACATTCACTGATTCCAGTAAGGCCTTGAATGCACTTTTTGCTTCCTAATTAACAACATAAAAAGCAAACAGATTCAGGAAAGAAAAAACACAGATAGCAAACACAGGATTTTGAGACGGAGTTTTCTTCTTCAAATGATTGCCTGGCATGAAGAAAATATGGGTAAGGGATATTTAAAAACAGGAATAAGTCTCACTACACACCTGCTTATTTGCAAAAACTAGTGGTTCATCCTCTTTAGCTTTCTCCTCTAAAAGGGAATCACTGCTTTTCGCTGGCGCTGTTTTTCCCTTCGGTGATTCCTGGAATACCATTAAGCACAAACCAAGTAAGAGAACCACGTCAAATATCACAACCTATTTTTGTAATAATTGATCAGCAACATAAATATGATTTAGCATTTAGGTAATGGCACTTCCATCCTGAAACAGAAGCAGAACTCAGGTAACAGTGTTATAGTATCTTGTTGCTTGAAGTATGCAAAATAGTCACAATCAGGATGAACTTCAAAAAACAAAGGTCAACAAGAGTACCTCATTATCGCGTGAAGATCCATCCCCTGAATTTGAAATACCTTGAGATGATGCATTATCAAAGTTACTCCTGCATACATTGAAGAATACATAACACAGAGTTGAAAGACTTGATAATATAGACTCTAACTGAGAATCAGAAAGTACAGCAGAAAAGTTAGCCATACGATAATGTTGTCTTAGCATTCACAACAGCAGCAGCAGCAGGAGTTCCTAGAACATCAGGGGGTAAAGAATCCATTGCCACTGCAGAGTTTGGGATAGCACCATTAGATGCTGTGGTGGACTGTGCAACGGCAGCAGATGGTCCGGAAGATGTCATTTGGGAAGCTCCAGCAAGTGCCGCTGGCACTGGGCTAGGGCTTGCAGCTACTTCAATAGATACAGAGACGGCAGAACTAGTTGAATTAGCTGCATTAGCTGTTTCACTAATAGTTTCTGCGGCAGCAGACATTCCCTGAGAAGGCACATCTGTTTCCAACCGGGCCCCATGGACAGCAGCATGTTGAGCTTGTTCACGAGCTAACTAGAAGAGCAATAAGAATATGAGATGAAGAACAGACTAGTAGACAAAGAATGATTAATGTTACCATGAGTCATACCTTCAATTCCTCAGGTATAGACCACTTAGACTGCTTTGTAACCTTGTTATAGTAATATCTGCAGAAACCATCCTCTCCATAAGGAACGTGATGAGAAGAGGTAAAGGAGAAGGGGTAGTATAAAAGCAGAAGAAGTTACAGACTCACGTTTTACCCTCTGGTGTTGTAAACTCCTTCCAAACGGTGGAAGCATCAGCTCTCTGTTAAATTTACAGCCAGGTTAAAAGGTTAAACAACTGAGAAGATTCACACAACGGTAACTTTGTAAGGAATATATATAGTAACTTTGTAAAGTGTACAGGCGACTGTTATGAAACAAACAAACCAGGTGGAAGAAAAGGAACCGACAAACTAAATGCTTAACCTATAAAGATTTAGAGAGAAAAGAAAAGAAATACTCAACAAATCTTTGTTTCAAGGGGAATGAAAAGGAGAAAAAGAAATACACAGCAGTTCACATCAGGCAATAGTAGTAATACCATAGCGTAAAAATGCACATGGTACCGAACGCCTACATTACAGCATCTATCCAGGCATCCTAAATTTTACCATAACCATCATCATATCTCATGAATTTGATATTACTCTAATCACGAAAGAACCCTCGAGCAACAAATAAGATGACCTACCGCAGGTAGCTCAACAGAAAACAAACAACATTATATTGAGATCCAAAATTCAGGTATCCCTTCTGATGGGCAAAACCATGCCCCATTGACAGTGACATACCAGAAAAGAGTGGCCAAACAATCTCCAACACCGACAAGATAGACTAAGAAACAAGTAGAAGGAATCATCACAAGAACAGACAACTTCAACAAAACACATTGGCAAGAGTATAAGATATTACTAGTCTGATATCATCGGTAGAACTTTTCAACATAGCTTGCACTAGCCAGTGAGGTAGATAAGTAATATTCATATACAGAAAAACAACTAAAGGGCTAATAGCAATCACTACTCACTAGCATCAACTGGACGGGAATGACCAACGAAAATTATTCAAAGAAACTTAAAATAAAATAAAAGAATTAAAGCATAGAGCCCAAGGTAAATGACAAGAGACATACGTCAGTAATGAGTGACCATATTCAAAATATCACTCAAGCATCAGCATGAAAAGGTGGGCAAATGATAAGAAAGAAATACATAATACTAAATGCAGAACAAATTTTGGCAAAGCTACAGTAAGTCTCTCGATGCAACAGAAGCAAACAACAAAAATATTGCCTGCCTTGAGAAAGTGAAAGCCGGTCCTCAAAGCGAGCATATAGAGCAGTTGTTAGATTTGTCCACACTTGCAATGACATCTACAACCCAATATAGACATGCAAAGGAAACAAAAACTAGAATAAAACAATTTTGGCCAATTCAGGGGAAGCCAGAAACCCAACATAATGCAAGAATATTATTAAGGCCCATGTCGCAGATAAAAAGGAGAGCAAACAAGGTAAGATTGCAACTGTAGAGAAGTAGAGCTCACCTCCAATGGTGTCATCAAGTCAAGTGGCTTCTCCCAACTAGATTGCCTTGTTATCTTGTTGTAATAATATCTGCAATCATGCGTCCACACAGTTACCAATTCAAGCAGTACAGGCCAGTTACATTTGATACCACAAAATACTATATTCCGAGAGCATTAAGCATAATTTATTCAGACAAAGAATGTCAAAGTCAATTCTCCATCATGTTCATCAGTAATTATAGAGAATGCAAATATAAGTATAACAAACCTCCTCCCATCAGGAGCTGTATGCTCTTGCCAATCCTGTGCAGATTGTGGGCCCGTGCTAGAGCCATCTGTTGCCTAGAATTTCCACGCACAATAAATTGGAAAAAAAGAACGAATTTTAGAAAATGCACGTATTGATTGGGGCAACTCATTCTAAGGTTGATAGATAACACAATTTTCTTCTTATTACTTAAACAATGTGAGATCATTTTAACCCCACACACTTGCTCTGGAGTATAGTGAACCATTGCCACATTTTCTGACAGTCACAGCAGCATCCTCTGGAGTATAGTGAACCTTTTGTCTCAAGGTTTTAACTATTATAATGACGCAATGCATAAACATTCATAATACTAGAAATCATGTGTCTAAAGGATGGATTTACAATTTTTATCCGTGTACCAAAGATCCCAAGCTAACATCAGATAAAGCAAATATTGGTCATACAAAAAGCCAACTTTATAGGTTCATATAAAAGTCAACTCAAGAAGAATGGAACCTCATACGAGTTCTGATGGCCATGAAGTGATTTTAAGAATACTAACAGAACATCCTTAAAGCAGGCAGATGATATCAATGGTTTTTTTATCGATCAGACAATTTCAAGGGTTGTCAACAGTACTCCTCTAATTGTATTACTACTGGCATGTCCATGAAGAAACTTACAGGATCAGAAGAAGAGACCGGAGGTTGTTGGCCAGTTGGCTGGACTGGGACAACAGGTGGTGCCCCATGACTAGCAGAGGGCAGCCAGGGTTGACCCCCAGCAGGTGCAACAGATGTGTGGGCCTGAGGAACTGGCTGGTATTGGGATGGCACATGAGTATTCTGTGGCTGGCCAAAAGATGGGGCAAACTAAATACGAGACCAAATGAGATCAGTATTTTCCACATGCTTTTTGACATTCAATAAGGCAAAGAAACAAGGCGAAAAAATCTTACAGTATAGGTTGAAGAGAAAGGAACCCCTGAAGCACCCACCACAGGCATATGGTTACCTATAGGGTGACCAGGTTGCTGGGGCTGTGTGGAGCTAGCTGTAAGATGTCTATGTTGTTGCATATACTGCATTGGCACAGCCTGTGATGAAGGTGGCAAATGCCCATGCTGACCAGACCAAGGAGGCAACTGATGCATTGGTTGAGAATAATGCTGCTGCTGCCCCTGAGCAGGATGTAACCCAATATTGGAAGAGGGAACGCCTTGTCCAACAGGGTGGAACTGTTGGGAAGCTACAGGCATAAATGGTTGCCCTGGTTGATGAGCCATTGGTCGAAACTGACATTCAAACATGCACCACTTCAGGAGTCACTCAAAATTGCTCGAGAGCAAAGAGGAAAAATACAAAAGAGCTAAAGAAGTCTCTACATATGATCTTCAACAACAACAACAACAAAAAACCCCAACCATAAAAATTCAGTTCTATGTGCTTCACCAGCATAAGCCACGTGGCTATTTAATTGACTACTAACCAGCCCAGAAAAAACAAAACTAAAGCTGAGTAGGGAGCAATTCCTACCAGTTAGCAATCACTTACAAAGCAAAGCCATCAATGATTTTTTAACAATTAAACTTGACTCGCCTACAATATAACTCAGGCAAATGCAGTAAAAATGCCATGGACATCTCACAGTGACAAAGTAACAATCAAAACTCAAAAAGATATCATAAATACCTGACCACCAGAAGATTGGGAATTGTTGGACATTGCAATCAATGCCTGTGCCAACCTCTAACTGAGAAAATAAGCACACTCGTGTGAATTCAAGACATTCATGTCCAGAAAAATATACATCTCAATTGATGATCCAAGAAAATCAGAACTTGGAAAAGCAACCTATCACATGATATACACTCCCAGATGACGAAAGCAACACTGCACATTGTACTAACAATAGATAATTGAGAACATCTTGACTTGCATCTAAATAACTGTCATTCGCAAATTATTTATTGCCAATGATGATGGCCAGCTAGAGTGTTTGGCTATCCTTGCTGAATATCGACAAGAGAGTGCACCACAAATGCAACTCCCCTAAGTACTGTGACATTGTATCAACAATGTCATGTAGCAACAATTACGTCTCCTGCACTAGTTCTCTAGAAACTAAGTATTATTTCAATATCAGATGATACGAACTGCATTCAAGTACTGTGACATTGTAATAAGTTAAGGAACTAGATGCAATATACTAAGGTTCTCAACAAAACCCAATCTAGACTCCCTTAGAGGGTTTGGCTGTGAGAAACAATCGTAGCACAAAATTCCGAGTTCAATATTTCAAGCTATTTGATCAGGTTGGAGTTTGAACTAAAATCCAACCCTAGTTCATGCAACCAAGTCTCTCTTAAACATTCGGTTTTTCTCCCTACTATTCAATATTATGATTTCAGCGCTCAAGTTTTTATACGAGAGAGGCAGTGCATCGAGGAAAAAAAGAGCTGTTCGTTTAAATACTAATTCCGCGATCCTAAGAAATTCAACGAGGCCCTTTTCCAACAGGGTTTACAGCATACAAAGCCAATCGGGCAACGAGTCTGCATAGATAGACCAAATGATATCGAAGCTAGACCAGAAATTCGCTAAATTTAATAACTTCCTCTCGAAATATTGGACAAATTGGCAGCCAAATTCAGCGCGAGTTCGAAACCAGCTTCCTCGAGAAGTAATCTACAGAACCCAGATTCAAGCATTTAACTACTTCTCCTCGCCGTGCAAACTCTACCCACGCAATCCGAAGCATCCGACCGACCAAGTGTTCAAAGAATACGATTTGCAGAAGAAGAAAGAAGACAAGAGGACTTACAGGTTTAGCACGGTCCGAAATCAGATGTGAAGGGAAACGAAGTTATGGGATCTTTTGCTCTCCGCGCGATTTCAGGCACTAGGGTTTAAGAGTGGAGAACTTGACAGGTCAGGGATTTTGGTAAACAGAATTTGAAACAAAATAAAATTGTGATGGAACGAATCAAAAGTAAAAAAATTTGACTCGGAACTCGGAAGAAGATGAATTGGATTGGTCTTTTTCTATTCTTTTCCCAGACCCAGTGAATATTTTGTCCGGGTTGAATTACTAAATCAGTCATCTAATTATTTTCGCTACCCGTTTTCCCATTCCATGGTATGGCTATGGCATTACGAGTCCTCCAGTATGTATTCTGTTAAATCATGCTATAGTCAGGCTGCATCTGAACAATTTGTAGGGCCGGGAAACAGTGCAGTTTGGTTTATATCGAATCATATATGAGGTTTATGGTCCAGATCGAGAGGTTAAAATATAGATCACAGACTAAACCACAAACTATACGGTCTAGACCAGATCACGTATGTGCGATCTGGTCTGATCCGGTACAGTTTGGTCCAGATAGACCATAGTGAACGAAAAATGAACAATTTAATTAGTCAACCACACAAAACTTTGAACCAATAGCCAAGAGAAAAATGTTTTATTTCTTTAAAACATAAATTCCTACATGCATGGATAATTTTGACCCTATAATAAAGATACAAAGTCAAAACATCCCAACTTGCACCATAACGCCATAAACATTTACATAATCTCATATGGAGACATGATCGTCTCTACTCTGTAGTGAAATGTGGTTGTGAATGAAGGAGGGGACGAGATTCTCAAAATTAAGATTGACACTTGGGTATCGTTGTGGGAGTTGAGAGAGTGGTCGAGTGGTCGAGTGGCTTGCTAACACATATTGAGAAGTCTGCTAGGTCTACGGTTTGGTCCGGTAAACTGCGGTCTAGACCAGACCAGACCAAGAAATCAAAACATCATATAATACAGACTATGGACCAGACCATACCATACTTAACGGTCTACGGTCCAGACCAAAAACCTGTTGTCCTGTTTGGACCATGCTTTTTCAAACGGTATGATCTACTTTCCCAACCCTATGAATTTGTACAAGACTATTTCACTATTCCTCTGATGTTTGCTTTATGTGCATGGAAATATTTGTGGTCTTCCGACTAAGTTGAAATGTTTTCTCTGACATTTAGTCAAAGGTTATCTTGCATTGCGTGATAAAGAAATAATTGATGATGAGAATGTTGAGGGTTTTTCCTACCCAGTCTGTAACTGTGCGGCTAACACTTTGTCTCATTGTTTCTTGCAGTTTCTTATTGCAGTCGCACTATAACACTTGTTGGGTTTCAAACATATTTTAATTTAAATACAGGTCTCTCCAATGTGGTCGTTGCACGCCTGGTATTTCTCTTTTGGAGGATTTGGAAAGGCAGATGCACCACAACATATAACCACTTGATGCAGTGGGGTAAATTAAATGAAGATAAATGCATCTTATGTCATGCCAATAATGAGACATGTGATCATTTGTTTTTCGAATGTTGTTTCTCGAGTAGTATTGTTAGCAGAGTTGGTAATTTTTTCAGTAGCAGCTCTTGGGATCTTCGACTCTCATATGTATGTGTGGTTGCAAAGCGAAACACGACTCTGGGGAGACTTATTGGGCCTCTATGTTGCTCCTTGATTAGCTTTGTCTGGCAGGAAAGTGTCGTAGGCTCCATGGAGAGGTCCCAAGAACGGTAGAGTTGGTGACAGGGTTATAGCTGCGAGATTTCCGCTTATTTGTTTCCTCTTATCCAGGTTTAGAGGCTGGGAGAGTTTGCGTCCCTCCAACAGCATAACAATAAAATAAAAAAATTAGAAAGTGAAATAGAACCCAACGAATTTAACGCCTAGAGGGAACGCTAAAATCAGTACGACATATTAACATCTAACCTTGTATTCTCAAAAAAAAAAAATGGCGAGAGGAGCTCTCTCCTCTCTCCTCGAAATCTCATCCTGGCTTGGAGATTGGCTACTGACGGTGATCTCCTCTTGGCTATCCGCCAGTCTGCGTGATCAAATCATCTCAGCAAACTGTTCATCATCCACTACCGGAGTGACCACTAGCGTTGGCGCCGGGAAACCGAGTACGCCGCAGAGCAGAAAGTCGGACTGGCACCGGAGACGCGCCGAACCACCCCGCAATTCGGAAGGAATTTATCGAAAACGAAAAAGAGGTGATGCTTGGGGGATTGATGCATCTCCCAGCTTTGCCCTTAATAAAAAAGGCAGATCATTGCCATTGAAGGGATGGCGATTCTGGCTTCCACCTGCATCTGATGTGGGCAAGGGAGAATCGCCGGTAACCCAACCGGTGAGTGGTGAGAAGAAGGTTCACGCCACCACATCGGAACATGCTTGCCGAAGATCCGCGGAGAATAGGTCGTGTTTGATCTGGGTAGGAGCTAAACAAAAACCTGCGCTGCATTGGCCGGCGAAGAGGGCGACGGATTCCCAAATCAGTCTTCCCGGCGGCGGCGGTTGGATGTGGTCAAGGAACTCGGGCTTTCAAGAATTACGCAAACATCGGGGGACAGATCCCAAATCTGTTGTGACTCGATTCGGCCCGGGATTCTCGTGGTTAGTTGGGCAGGATCTGCAAAAAATTATTCCTCCCAACAGCCTAAACGGTAGACTGGTGGAGGAAAGAAATCCTACTTCCACTACAATACCAATTGTTAACCGTAATTGGTTAAACGCGTTAGTCTCAAGAGAAGCAGCTATGACAGCGTTTCTCATTATATATTCCCCTCTTCTACGACTGATTCACAATCAATACCTGGTAAAGATTCAGTGGCGTGATTGCTCCTTCGTAGCAGATACCTCTCAACAAGCTTCGGTCGACACAACCTCAGGTATGGAGGTTCATGACTGTCAATCTTTATCCCCTTCCTCTAAAGCCGCCGATGGCAGCTCTTTGTGGAATAGTGAGGATCCTTCTAACTTATCGGACGAGAGAGTCCCAACTCTTGTGTCGTCTCATCCCCTTTCGAGGGGCCGACCCCATGAAAATCTTATGATTGATCCCCTAATGACCCCTGCTTTTCCTTGCCAAGCTCGAGCAATGGTGCATATGTCCGAGGACCAGGTGATCCAATTTTCACTAGATGAGGTTCAGTCCACCAAGCTCCGTGCATCACGCACAGTGCTAGGACGATTGTTCACTACCGACCAAATCTCGACGCTGGAATTGCGAGATGCGCTGGTTGATGCCTGGCAGATCAAGGGGCGGGTGAGAGTTTCCACGACTAGCCATGGTTTGTTTGAAATCATGCTGCCAAACTTAGAGGCGAAAAGCTGGGCGTTGAAGCTATCCCCATGGATTATCAATGACAAGCTCCTCATTCTCCGGGCCTGGGTTCCCTCGATCCCCAGGAAGATATTCGAGGAGATAGCTGTGGCGCCTTTTCGTATCCAACTCTGGGGTGTGAAGGAGGATTGCTGCACCAAGCTATTTGGGCGGAAGATGGTGGCAACAGCCATTGGCCAAGTCCTGGACTTGGATGTGTTTGCTTGCACGGATACAGGGGAGCGATTTATTAAAGTTCGTGCGCTCATTGATTTTGCCAAACCGCTTCGCTCCCAACTGATGGCGGCTAGTGATGAAGTTGATAATTTTTGGGTGACCCTGAAATATGAGTTTCTTCCTAGCTTTTGTTATCATTGTGGCCGAGTGGGTCACGCTCGGAGTGAATGTTTGTTTGAGTCGCCTAAGGGCAGAGAGCGTTTTGGACCTCACATGTCGACGAAGAAGATGGGGAGAAGAATCTATGATGAAGAGACGATACCATGAAGGCAAGGGGACCTTCGCAGACCGTTTGGGTCAACCGCCAAATTAATGGCCCTGCTAGTCATTCTCGTACTTATATCCGAGGCCATGATGAGGGGAGGAAGATGGCCAAAAAACATTTGGAGGAGTGTCCTCAAATCGCTATGGGCAAATCGGTCCAAGATAGCAACCCAGAACAAGAGCAGGAGCGGAAACCAGCTCCGGCCAAGGCTACGAGTCCGCGGGGTTTTCCTATCAATAAGCCACCGCGGATTCAGTTGGGGAGAGGAAGAAATAAGAAACAAAGGCAGGGTGGAAATAAAAATGGCCACTGTCGGCTAGATGCGGATGGGAGCAAGGGTCGGATTTCGCTTGGCGGACCTAGCGCTGGTCAAGCAGAGCTGAAAAACAACTCGCCGGACATCCTCATTGAAACTCGGCGTCGACGGCTCATTTTGGAATCGGACTCCGATGATGATTCCCTGGCAATTGACCGGGTTCCTAAAATGAATGGGCCAGGGCCCGCAAAAGTTAGGGGGCCTGATTCAAAGCTCCCTCTTCAAAATCGGGAAGGCTGGGCTAGAGTTAATACCCGCCCAGTGGGAGATATGATGGATGGGCGTGATGATGGGCCTGCGACAGAGGCTGGGCTTATTCAGGGCCAAGCAGCCAACGGCCCTAAGTCACAGCAGGCCCGACCCAATAAAAGGGGTAAGCTGCGCAAGGCCCAGGGTGCGGAAGGAATAGCTGGGAGACAAGGCGGCCCAAAGCAAGTTAAAGAGGTGCAGAATGGGCCCGACGAATTGGGGGGGCAGTTGGGCAGTCACAGGAGTCCGCTCCCAAGGCTACTGTGATTAAAGCTCTAGTTTCGGATAATTCGGAGTCTGAGGAGGATAATCAATGTTTTGAAATTAAACGAAGGGGTCCCTCCTCTAGGACTACTGCAATTTCCACTCATTCAAAGGGGAGGGTGAGCCAAGTGGTGGCCGCTTTTGAAGCTGGACTCACAATTACTTCAGAGGCTCAACTGACTTCCCAGGAGAAGATGGAATTTATTAATCCGAATCAGGAGGAAAAGATTATACTTCAGGGAGAGAGCTCTCATCTGGATGAATATGGGTCGAATTTGCTAAATCCTGAGATTGGGACGCGAAAGCGCCCATTGGAGGCTATAGAGGGCGATCTGGGAGAAGTACCCTCGCAAAAAAAAACAATTTATTGAAGGTGCTGATAATCTGGAACAGGTGGAGGAAGCCAGCCTAGAGTGGCCCAGTCCGATAAATGAAACTTCTGGCCTGGAATGTGAGAGGAATTGGACCATCCCTCACATTCCAAACTGCTGTCGGTTTAGTTCGTTCTAATACACCGGATCTCGTGTTCTTCTATGAGACGCGATCGAGCCGGCGTGTTGTCTCCCGTCGTATGCGGGGTTTGGGTTTTGCTATTTCTAATTGTTTTTTTGTTGATGCTGTTGATGCATCAGGTGGGTTAGTTGTAGCTTGGTCCCCTGAAGTTGATGCTTCGGTGTTTTATCATTCGGATTTTTGTACTTGCGTCAGAATTAATGAAGTGGACTTTTCTTATATTGTGGTTTGTGCCTACATTAGTTGCAACAACTCGATCAGAGCTTCCCAATTGGCTCACCTCCAGGAGCTCTGCTCTACTTTCCATCTTCCTTATGTGATTATGGGTGATTTCAATACAACTCTTCATGAAAGTGAAAAGGATGGTGGTAACCCTTGGAATGCTTCTCAGGCGATTAGCCTTCGAGATTTTATTCACGAATTGGGCCTCCATGATCCAGGTTTCCTTGGGGACCAGTTCACCTGGACTAATAAGAGGATGGGTGCAGCTTGTATCCGTGAACGTCTGGATAGGGCCCTTTGCTCCAATCTGTGGATGGAGCGTTTCCCGGAGACCTTGGTCAAACACTTTACTGATCAAGGGTCTGATCATCGGGCAATCCTTCTCTCCGATAAAGCCTATGCCAGAAATTGCCGCCCCCTGTTTCGGTTTGATGCTCGCTAGGCGGAGAACCCGGAGGTTAGAGCAATGGTTAATTATGTGTGGAAAGAGGATATACAGGGGACCCCTATGTTCTGTCTTTGGGAGCGTCTCAAGAGATTGCGTCATTTGTTGTATGATTGGAGTCGGGCTGGGACTACCAATTCATTACGGAATATTAATACCCTCCAAAGCGAAATTGAGAGGATAAAGAGGTCCCATCCAATTGATTGGGAGGCGGTCCGGACGCTGGAAATGGAATTGAACTGCCAATGGGAGGCAGAGGAGCTGTACTGGCAGCAGAAATCCAGGGTTAACTGGTTAAAAAAGGGGGACAAAAACACGTCGTATTTTCATACGGTGACCAGAACCCGTCGGAAAAAAAACTTTGTAGAGGCTCTCCGGACTGATGAAGGGGGATGGGTCAGTGATGAACCGGGCAAGGCTGAGGTGGCGGCTTCCTTTTATCAACAACTTTTTACCACTGAGAACCAAGTGGAAAATATGGCTGAACGGGTGGCGACTTTGCCTATTGCCCAGAGTGTTACTCTAGATATGAACGCCGCGCTTACGGCTGAGGTGCTCCCGGAGGAGGTGCGGAGAATGGTCTTTGCTATGGGGTCTAAGCGGGCTCCAGGTTCGGACGGTTTCACGGGGAAGTTTTTTAAGGCCTTTTGGGATATCGTGGGTCCGTCGGTTATAGATGCGGTTTGCTCCTTCTTTGTTACAAGTAGGATGCTGCGCAGTTTCAATCATACTTGGCTTACGTTGATCCCAAAGGTGGAGAAGGTGGAAACTATGAGACAATTACATCCAATCAGTTTATGTCAGTTTGTCTATAAAATAATCACTAAGATCATGGCGGAAAGACTGGCATGTGTCCTCCCTCAACTCATCTCTGACGGCCAAAATGCCTTTATCAGGGAGCGTCAGATTGTGGACTATATCCTCCTGGGACATGAGTTAATGCACTACTTGAAAATTAAGACGCGAGGTAAGAAAGGGTACATGGCCCTAAAGGTTGATATGGAGAAAGCCTATGATAGGGTCGAATGGCCTTTTCTTCTCGCTGTCCTAGACAAGATGGGTTTTAACGCTGTCTGGCAGGGTTGGATTTCTGAGTGCCTCAGATCGGCCTCGTTCTCGGCCCTTATGAATGGGGCTCCGTCTGGCTATTTTTCACCTTCTAGGGGACTGCGGCAAGGCGATCCTCTATCCCCTCTTCTGTTTGTCATTTGTACGGAAGGTTTTGCGGCCCTTATCCGGAAGGCGATTGCTGATAAGAGGCTTGAAGGTGTAAAAGTTGCCCCCGGGCCCCTAGGGTCTCGCATTTGTTTTTTGCGGATGATTCGTATTTATTTTTACGAGGAACTCTACAGGAATGCGAGAATTTGATGGTGGTCCTAAATGAGTATGAGGAACTGAGTGGCCAGAAGATAAACTTGGCTAAGTCTGCGGTTTGCTTCAGCAAGAATATTGTGCAAGAGGATCAGGATTTCCTGGCTGTCGTACTGGGGGTGGGAGCAGTAGGGGTCCATGATAAGTATCTAGGACTACCTACACTGATTGCTCGATCTAAGATGGTGACGTTCCAGTACCTAGAGGCTAAGCTACTTGAACGCCTCCAGGGGTGGAAACAACGGACGTTATCCTGGGCGGCGAAGGAAACTTTAATCAAATCGATTGCCCTCGCGTTACCTCTGCACGTTATGTCATGTTTTAAGCTTCCGGTCTCCCTATGTCGTCTTCTGGATAAGCATGTGGCGCGATTCTGGTGGGGGGATGCGGAGGGTCACCCTCGAATTCGATGGGTGTCCTGGCGGAATATGTGCAAAAGTAAGCACGACGGCGGGATGGGATTTCGGCAGTTTGAACAATTTAACCAGGCGCTCCTTGCCAAGATTGGCTGGCGCATCCTTACGGAGCCAAACTCCCTTCTCGCTCAAGTTTATAGAGGGAAATACTTCCCGCATGGGACGTTCTTGCAAGCTACGGCCCGCTCTCGGCCCTCTTGGGGTTGGCAGAGTATTCTGTTTGGCCGTCAGTTACTAGAGAAGGGGTTAAGGTGGCAGATTGGAAATGGGAAATCTGCTTCGTTGCTGAACTCCAATTGGATCCCGCAACTCCAACTTGATCCCCCGGCTTTTAATCCTATGATCATTCCGGAGGGTGGTGATCCACCTGTAGCGGTCGTTACTTGCGAAGGGGAGGGGCGATGGGATGATCAAAAACTGAGTCAGTGGTTCGATCCCCCTTCTTGTAGGGCCATTAAATCGATCCCTCTTCCTCGGCAGAATGTGGAGGATAAGCTAATTTGGTATGATACGCAGATGGGCTGTTCTTGGTCAAGTCTGCTTATCACTTAGCTGTTGCTTTAGATAATAGGGGAGGGGGCTGGAAGGCCACTGTTAGCTGGATGGATAGAACAAGTTGGATCCGGGTGTGGAATGCGAATATCCCCCCAAAGCTAAAAGTCTTTGTCTGGCAGATTCTTAATCGAGTCTTGCCAACTACTGAGGCCCTGATTAATAAGCGTGTGCATGTGCTCCCTAGATGTCCGTTTTGCTGGGATAGTTTGGAAACAATGGAACATGTGTTCCTTGACTGCCCAGTGGCACGAGCATTGTGGGAGTACTCAGGACTGGATTACGTAGGGGAGGGTTTGGCGCGACACACTTTCCCTTTGTTTCTTAAAAGGTTGTTGGCTTTGATTTCCCAACCCCAGCTGTTCATGGCAGTGGTTGCTATCTTGTGGCGCATTTGGCGCTCCCGTAACTGGGTGGTCTTTGAAGGCAAACAGTTTGGGTTCGATGCCTTAATGCGTCAGTTTCATCAGCAATATGAGGAATGGGTTCGATTTCCTTTGGATAAGGTTCGCCAGCCTTCGGCCCTGGTGGGGGAAGGTGTAGGGATAGACGGGATGGTGGGGGGGGGGGGTCATCTGTCAGTGGGATGGGGGGATCCGGCCAGGGTCGCATGCGGCTGGTGGAATCGTCCTGTTATCCCTTGATAGAAAGGTCATGCTGGCTAAGGGCTTCCAGTTCCCTCTTTTGGGAGACCCAATGACGGTGGAGTTACTGGTCCTTCGGGAGGCGGTTTTATGGTGTCTGGCGAATAGCTTCACTAATGTGCTGATAGACCGTTAGTTACACATGTTTTCACCCTTGTTCTTACACCGTTGGGGATGTGGTTTCTCGTGTTTTAGACCGATTTCACGCTAGGTTGTGCTTGTTTGTGATATTTCAGGTCCTGGCAAGTGAATGAAGGTTTAGGAGCGAGTTCGGGGTCGATTGGGTGAAGATCGGGCGCGAGACAAGTCACAAAGGAGGTCACACGGGCTGCCCTGATGTTCACACGGCCGTGTGAAGGAGTGGTTTGGCCGTGTGACATTCTGCGAGAGCAGACACGGGCAGAGCAGAAGATCCACACGGCCGGGCAAGTGGCCGGGTTGGCCGTGCCACATTCTTCGAGAGCAAACACGGGAAAGAAGGGATGTTCACACGGCCGTGCCACTCTGGCCGTGCAAAGAGCCTGGAATTCGAACTAATTGGAACGCAGCGTTTTGACTGACACAGGCAACTGGGTAAGCTGCACGGCCGTGCCACCCTGGCCGTGTGAGTCGGGATTTTCTCCTTTTAAGCAGAATTTCAGCCACAATTCGAGGGGATTCGGGTTTTTGAGTGAGAAAGCGATTCCTAGAGAGAGAAAGTGACGAGCAAGAGTTCCCAAGTGCCCTAGATTGATCTTCAACACAATTGGAGGCCAGCTTGAGCTTGGAGAAGTGCCAATCAACGTCTAGAAGCAGGAATCCATCCTTCGCAGTATGAATTCCGCGTCTGATTCTGCTTTTGCTTTCTTCTCCATGGAGTAGTTCTCCCATTCATCTGGGTATGGAGAACCCTAGATTTGTATGTTAGGCTTTGATTGTATGAACCCAAGTACTGATTCTGTGATTGATTATATCCGATTGAGGTTTTAATGATTGAATGACTTGAATCCTGATCAAATTCCTGTTGTTTCTGCTTTAACCTAGAATGAGAATATCTGCCTAGGTTAATAGAGTATCCTTGATTGAAGGTAGGGAGTTGGTGACTTTAGTCGAGGAGCCAACTCACTATTCTGTACCGGATTTACTCCGGTAGTGGAGGTTTTGTTCTTAGGGCCTCAATCTGTCTACTCCGGTGGAGGTTAGTCGCCCGCTAGAGAGTCAGATTGAGAGGGTCTGAAGACCTTTAGTCGAGACTTCAGGCTGTTTAAGAACCTTCCACAGTATAATTGTCATAGAAACTGAACTTGGTAATTACAATCCGGCTTAACTGCAGTCTAGGGGGAACCATATCCAGGTGACTGATAGGTCAAAAGCGTATAGCTTCAATTCCTATCTTGTAGTAAAACCGGAAATTCCGGGTATCGTCTCTCAGGGACTGGTACAACCTAATGATTTATTGATTCTATAGAGCAAACTACAGGTGAAAATGGTTTAATGAGAATAATTATCTAAAAGCAAAATAAACTAAACAAATTAAGCAAGTGAAAACTGTCGGGTTTAATTCAATGGGAGAAAGCTCTGGGAGAAACACCGGGATTCACTACCTATCATATCCAAATTAATTCACATATTCTAATCGGTTTAATCCAATTCTCTATAGCCAGGATATCACTACTGTGCTAGCTATCCCTGTCGGGAATTACTACGTACTAAACAATTAAATCAAATCCTACTGTCGTAGCTCAATGAGTTAATTATTTAGCCTGAAGAACGATATCCCAATCAAGACCGCATAGTACCTTATTTAATCCACTGTCGCTTCGATAAGTTACTATGTCAAATGAAACAGGTTCAGTTAATAGGGTTTCACCGTCGCTAATAACCTAATTAACTACAAATCGTTGTATTGGTGGCCAGTCAACACAAAGCATTAAGAAATTTCATGCAATAGAGATTGGAAGAAAAGAATCATGAATCAATCCATCAAATCAAGAAATAGCTACATCCTATGGTGTTTCCCCCATAAATTGGGGTT